CTCAATGCGGGACAGAGCGTCGGCATTGCAATTACTTGTGCCTTTTTTATAAATAACTGTAAAATCATATTCTGAAAGTTTGAGCCTCCAACGAGTTAGGCGGGAGTTGGGCTCTTTTAAATTCATAATCCACTGGAGTGGTTTATGATCGGTTACAATTTTGAATTTTCTTCCGAATAAATAAGGCCTAAAATATTTAGTTGCCCATACAATAGCGAGGAGCTCTTTCTCGATAGTGCTATAATTTATTTCGCTCTCATTTAAAGTTCTAGACGCGAAACAAACTGGTTTATCTATACCAATTGTGCCCTGAGATAGTACGGCACCAATAGCTACGTTAGACGCGTCAGTTGTGAGAACAAAATCCTTAGAAAAATCGGGATATTGGAGAATCGGATCATTAGTTAATAGTAATTTGCACTTCTCAAAGCAATTTATGTACTCTGTGTCTGCGACAATTTTCCTACCTTTTTTAAGACACTGAGTAAGGGGTTTAGTGACTCGCGCAAAATCGGGTATAAATTTTCGGTAGTAACCGACTAAACCAAGGAACTGTTTGATTTCCTTTGGTGTTTTTGGAAGTGGATATTTCTGAATTGCGGAAATTTTATCAGGGTTTGGTTTAATACCATCCTTACTTATTACGTGACCTAAATATGCTGTCTCTAATTTAAGAAATTCAGATTTATCCATCTGGATTTTAAAATTGGAATCGCGAAGTTTTTGAAAAACCTTTTCTAAATTGGTCATGTGCTCTTGGAGACTGGTACTAAAAACGATTATGTCATCCAAATAGACCAGGCAGACGGTGTTCTGAAGGTCTTTTAGCACATTGTCCATTACGCGCTGGAAAGTGGACGGAGAGTTCTTTAGTCCCATTGGCATGCGAAGAAATTCATAATGTCCGTTTTCGACATTAAACGCGGTCTTCGGAATGTCGTCAGGGTCCATTTCTACTTGGTAAAATCCGCTAGCTAAGTCTAAAGTGGTAAAATACTGACAGTTACCAAGTTTATCTAACACGTCACTGATGTTGGGGATCGGATATTTGTCATCGTGCGTCTTTTCGTTTAACTTACGAAAATCTATCACGAGACGCCATTTAGTTTTACCGGACGCGTCAGCCTTCTTCGGAACTACCCAAATAGGCGAGCTCCAAGCGGATTCTGAGGGACGGATTATACCCTGATCTAGCATTTTGCCTATCTGGTCCCTAACTTCATCTCTATGTACATACGGATATCGATAACTTTTCGTATATACGGGAATTTCGTCTTGGGTTCGAATACGATGTTTAATTTTATTCGTGAATGTTAATTTTTCTCCATCTATGTAGAATACGTCCGCATATTTACTACATAACAATTCTAGATTCGCGCGTTCTTCGGCGTTTAAATGATCGGTTCGAAGTCGTGATAGAACTTCGGTCGCTCGCGGAGTATGCTGGACAGAACGTGAACACTCTACGTTATAAGATTCTGCTTGAACGGGTCGATCTAACGAAAATATTAAATCATGCTGTGATGGATTAAAAACTTCTAAAAATCCGCGGTTATTACAAACAGTAGTTAAGCATTGATTAATGACACAATTAGAAATACTTTGCTCATTTATAAAAGCATCACCGTCCTGCAAATTAATAGGAATTTTAATAATTTTTGAAGAATTAGCCGGTATTATATCTTCGTACCAATTAACGTTTCGCGAGTTATACATGTTAATAGGGTTATTTGAATTACGTGTTATAAGTACTTTATTTTTTAAATCTATTTTTGCCTCCCAATTTTCTAATAAGTCAAGTCCAATAAGCCCATCGAAATATTCATGAAATTTATAGATGTACAATTTAATATTTTCAGGTTCATTAAATTCTGAAAAGCAAGGAATATTAATAGAATAATTATTTCTGGATGTAGCGTGCACATTGGTAACTTCAAATGGATCAAAATTTAATGGAAAATTAGAATAAAAATGTTCAATAGCGTCTGGACAAATAAAAGATTGATTAGCGCCTGTGTCAATTAATAATTTCAAAGGCGGATCCAAAATTTGAATATATGGGAGTTGCCTTTGTGACTGTAAATTTAATTCTATTTTGACTTGTCTGATTTCATGCGCTTCTGAAAATCCTGCTCTTCTACGGAACTAGTAGATGGCTGAGGTTCATCAGAGTAGCCTGAAGGGCACTCATTTAATGGTTCGCAACTCTGTTCTACACAATAAGATTCCGGATAGTAAAAATCATTTCCTGCGTAATAGTAATCATATGCATCACAATTATAATATTCAGGATAATAATAATTTTCATAACTATCACACTCATTCATATTCATTTCTTTAGTTTTAAAATAATTTGAGGCTGGAATATTTCCATGCTTACGCCAATCATGACCCGTCAACTGCGTGGTCAGAGGCCTCTCTCTAGTGACGTAGTGACTAACGCCACTCATAGGCTTAGGGCCTTGATTTTGAGGAACATTTCTAGGCACACTAAAGAAATTATTTTGATGAGGGTTATAGTTAGGTGGTGGGGCACGGAACATTTGCTGCGTGCGTGATGGCATGTTCATCGATCTAAATGGGGCTGGCTGCTGGAAATTCGGCTTCCACTGCTGTTGGGGCGGCTGCCATATTGGCATTGAAGGGGGTCGTGCAACAGGATTGAATGGTTTGAACGCGGGGAAATTATTAGGAGCCAATTGAATTGGCTTTGGCAATTGAACACTTTGAATTTTCTTTTCTGATACTGAATCGTTACGATTTTGAAGGTACATTACGTTCAATTCCTCTTGCACAAACTCCAAAGCTTTTTCAGCACTATCAGGACGCATGCATCTAATGCGAGAGCCTAGAGGCTCTTTCAAACCGCGCACAAATGCCTGCATCGTTAATTTTTTATATAAAACACGTTTAGCTTCTACAGTCGTATCGACTGACTCGTGTAAGGTGACATAAGTCATGATGGTGCTGAATAAGTTAACACATTTATCATAGAACTCCTGAGGCGAACTATTCCCTTGCGTGGCTAACATAAGATCGTTATACAAAGCCGTCTCATCCCTTTGATCTGAGAAATTATTAATCAGTGCGTTTTTAATGCAATCCCAATTTTCGGATATGCCGTTCGAATTAATAATACGCGCGGCTGGCCCAGTAATTTTATTTAATATGCCATTAATAAGACAGAGCTTTGCTAGTTCGTTGCCAGGATTAGCGGTAATATATTCCGCAACAATTTGGTCGCACAAATGAATGAATCTTGGTAATACGTGCGGGTTACCATCAAAATCTGGCACCAGGCGTAAGGCCTTAAAAATTGTGTCTACGTCAGTCATCTCGATTGATTGGTAAGCTACCGAATCTACCGAGGAATCTAAAGTACTATTTAACTCTACACTAATATTTCTATGACTATCCAATTCGAGCCTACGAGCTAATTTTGCACGCGCAGGCCCTCTAGGGGTAGTTTGCCTAGGATGAAAAATTTTGCAAAGTAAAAATTACACTTAAAGGGAAAGGAAAGCAACACACAAGAAAAATTTGAGTGTACTTACATGAACTGCATTCTGGTTCCTCTGGGATCAATGTTCGGATTTATCCTCCGATCCGGGACACCCGGTTCTTTTAGATACCCTACGCTTACGGTGGTGAAAGTGACTATCGATATTAGAAAATCTAACCACCGAAGCTTTTTTGAGTATCCTACCGACTGCGCCAATTATGGATGTCGCCGCCGGAGGACCCAAAAAAAACCAAAATTAATTCAAAGTAATTTAATTAAAATAAAACTTATGTAATTACAATTTAAATTTACTACTAAAGAAACTAGTCTAGTTCCTATCGATGCTAGATATGGAATGACCGAGACACAGTAATAATGTTTAAAAGAAGTAATTGTGAAATGTGGAAGATTCCCATTAAAACGCAGTGTCGGATGGCGCCGGCCTCCTTTGAGTTCGTCGCTACCTCTTTCCGTCAACGTTGCATTCTTGCCTCGTGTGAACGATGTTGCAATAGTAGGGGGGGGGGGGGGGGGGGGGGGGGGGGGGTGGGGGGGGGCCCAAAAAAAAATATATTAAATATATTTTTTTTTTTTTTTTTTTTTTTTTTTTTTTTTTTTTTTTTTTTTTTTTTTTTTCCCCCTTGGTGGAAAAAAAAAAAATCCCCTAATATTTTTTGGGGGGGGGGCGGGGGGGTGTTTTTATAATTAAGGGGGCCCCCCTTTAAAATATGGGTTCCCAAGGGAAAAGTTGTTTTCCCACACCCCGTCTTTTTAAAATATATGAATACAATATTGGATACACAGATTTACGCTCCTTCCACCAGATCAATGGATTTTCAAAGCGAACTAATAAGGGCTCCTGAATGTACTTGTCTAATTCAACAATACCGGCGGCAACAGGGTTACACGCGATTTGCAAGGCGGAAACTTCTTCTCTCTGTCATATGGCGCCCCAAAATTTTTTTTTTTTCCCCCCCCCTTTAGGCCGGGTTTTGCTTTTTTTCCCCTTTCGATATTCTCTGTCCCCCCGTTTATTCCGCTACCGGGGGCCGACTTTTTTTTTAAGCCTGACACTGCCCTTTCGTATTTATTCAAGTCTCGGAAACCTCTATTTTTAAATCGGGGGTCCAATATTGTGGCTTCGGCATATAATACATTGGATTCCACATCACTCTTATCATAAAATCTTCTGTGGATTTGAGCTTTCAAACTTGTTATCATTTTTTGTGCTTCGGGCGAGTATACTTCTAAATTACAGTTTGAAATATGTTGATGCAGAAGCCGAGAATATACTATGACTTTTGAAAGACTGACTTGTTTTTCTGTGCTTATTTCGTTGGTAACTTCATAGAATGATTTTAAAATTGGTATCGCTTCCTCTACTACTTGCTATTCTGCGGTATTTAGAGCTAGTTCGTGACGGACTAGCGCCAATGTTGCAATAACTGCATCTTTACGGGATACTACTCGATTAAGCATGTCATAGGTCGAATTCCATCTAGTTACAACGTCTTGTTTTAGCTTCAGTACTGGCAGGTTCATTTGCTTTTGCATCTCCTGTAATTTGAATTTTTTAATAAATTAAATTAAAATAAGAAATTTTATTTTAATAAAAATTCAGTTTTAAGATTTTGTAGGGTCGGCCCTTATTATTGAAATAACGTATTATATATTTTTAAATACCTTTATATGCAATTACCCAATACTATTATAATATTACAAGGTTATTACGTTATTTTGCCTAAAATACAACTTACCGGCATCAGGTTTCCTTTTCTGTATCTGCTTTTCGTTATTCGCTTCAAACAATGCAAACTCTTTTAAAATCAATGCACCCTGCATTGATTTTAAATGATTTTTAAGCGACGATGTAGTTTGTCCCTTTAGAGAATATGTTTTACTACATATTTTACTTGGAGATTTATCCCGGTCATTTTCGACAGGTTTGAAATATGTCCAAATTTCACTTTGCATAGATGGCGGCATAGTTCACTTGTCCAATAGCAACTACGAAAGTCAATTTGAATTAAAAAAATCAGCATCCCATTTAAATAGTAATAAGTACCCCACTTAAATATCTTATCATCGAAAAATCATTATAACTCTTTTACCTTTTTAAAATAACAGTTTCGATTTTTTTTGAAACAAATTACAATACATTTTTTACACTTTAGGTATACCTATTCATTCATTTTTTCATTTATAAACTTGATAAATTCGATAATTAATCATAATAAAAAAAATATAAAAAGCGTACGAAGTCCACGTAGAAAAAAATACTGGAATAATAAGATTTGCACCTACAACTATTACGAAAAAAGCAAAATCATTCCATTAGTGCACTGCGTGATATCAAAACTGAAAAACCTAGTCATTGAAGATTCTTTAATCAAGGATGTACAAAAACGCACTCTTACTGAAATTAATAAACGAATGGGCGCAATCGAACAGGTATCAGCATTAGCTATCGCTACAATATTAGATCCAAGATTTAAAAAACTTCATTTTGAAGATGCCATGGCGTGTGCAAATGCCTTCATTAAAATTAAAGTGATGATCATAAAGAATCAACAGGATGAATCTACTGTGGAATCTGACTCTGACAACTCAGACAAAATTAGTCTATCATCGGATCTTTGGAGTGATCAACAACTCAAATCATTTTATCAAAATCGCTTTATTTGAGGACTCCAGTGAGTAGATTTAACGAAAACCTATTAGAAGTGTGGGCAGACTATAAAATACAGTTCCCAACGTTGTTGATGGTCCAGGCTGAAACTGAGGTGTTGTTAAAGCAGGCAAATCTGCTTCAAGGGGTTGTTCTTCGAGGATAGATGGATGCGGTTGTTTCCAGATTCCGACATTTAAAGGAACTGTTTCAGACTCATCGTTCGCTAGCGGTACGTCTGTGGTTGATGCAGCTAAAAAATCTGAATCTCTAAAAGTTATTCTGCTTAAAAGGCCATATGCCACATTTTTAAGGCATTGATTGCGGTGGACATTGTTGCAGCTTGAATATATGCATTTGCAAATATTTCGCTTATTTGAAATGTTGTTATTATTCGCCCCGGGTGTGAACTTAACCAATTATAGCAGGCATGGTCATAGTATACACTTTAAGGTTTCATAAAGCCAACATCAAAGGGTTGGAGCCTATTGGTGCAGTGCGGGGGAAAGCAAAGCATTACAACCCCATTTTTGCGTGCATATTCAATAACTGATATGTTTTGGGTATGTGTTACATGACCATCTAAAAGAAGCAAGGCCGGGTTAGTTATTGACGCACCAGAGAACTTGACAAATCGTTGGAACCAGCTCAGAAATATTTCAGATGTCATCCATCCTTTAGTGTTGCATTCTGCTGTCGTCCCTGGAGGAGCTCGATCCAGCAACTCTTGCTTCATTCTCTGTCGAGGAAATATTAGCGTAGGAGGCATGTAAGTTCCTGCAGCATTAAAACACCTCAACCGTAACTGTCTGTCCTCGTTCCGCTGAAGAAAGCGATCCTACCTGTTTTCTCCCCTTTTCTGCAATATTTTCGCAATAATTATCGTATGCGTTATACCTTGAAAAGAATTACTACTTTTATGGAGTCTTTTGTTTGGTACACTTATTTTGTCCTTATTAAGTGTATTGTACTGATGAAAGCTGCCGTTTGTTTCAAAAGTATCTACGTTTTTCCTCACATACAAAACATTTTCACAGATATATTGACTTGCCAGCGTTAGGATATTCAATGCTTTAAACTTATTTCGAACAGGCTCACGTGGGGAAAGACCACAAATCGATCGCATAGCCCGTTTCTCCAAAACAAATATGGTTTGAATATCGGCTGCATTGCCCCACAAAAGGATACCATAAGACATAGTGATAGTCAACTCGAGTAGCTAGCTCGGGTTAACTCGATTCAGCTCGAGTTGAATTCTCTATAACTCGAGTTCGAAAACCGAATAGAACCGACATAGAGCGAAGTTTGCCGATTATTTGAGACTATTCAGTGTGACCAGATTTCTACTTTTTTGGTAGATTTCGAGGTACAGTGCTTAGTAGGTAAAAAATATTTGGTATATTTTTGTAGTATTCACATTTTTCAAGTATTCTGGTACTTTTTGGCAAACTTGTCGAAAAAATGCGCGGTATTCCCATTTTCATCGAATGCATTGTAACTAGACTTGCAACGAATATTCGGTTACTATTCGGTATTCGGCCTATTCGGCTGCTTTTATTATATTCGGTCGAATACCGAATATCTACATATTATTCGGCCGAATAACGAATACTTAAATAATATATTTTGTCACAGAGAAATAATTATATTATATATTTTTTTATTACATATTTTTATTTCTGTTATAATCATATAAGTAGTCATTGGTACATAATACAGGTACATAATCATCTTCTGAATTGGAAAAATGGAGGAATCTATGTATTTGAATTATCGTGGTAATCAAAATTTAGAAGGGTAAGGTTCTCATTTCTTTCATAATCATTTATGAAGTAGTCGTTGGTACATGAAACAGGTACATAATTTAATCATTTTCTGTATTAAACAAGTTAAGAATCTTTCAATGCATTTGAATTATTTTCATAATCAAAATTTAGAAGGGGAAGGTTATGGTGCAGAAAGACTAACTTTTCTGCATTTTTAGGAAGTAGTTTACTTCTTTTTTTCTCGTAGACCATCCCAGCTTCAGAGAAAAGGCGCTCTGAATAAACACTTCTTCCTGGCGCCGACAAATATTTTGCTGCAATCTTAATCAAACACGGAAATTCAAATTTCCTTGCTTGCCACCATGTATACGGGTTGTCATGACGTGATATATTACTAATATTTAAAAAAAAGATCCATTTCTGTTGAAACTGCATTTTTTTCTGTTGATGTGTTTCCAGAAGCTGTGCTTTTTTCTGCTATCAGCTCTTCAAAGCAATCTATAAAAGTTGAGTGAATAGTCTGATTTAGACTTTTCTCTTCAGTTCTCATCCTCTTGGCCAAAGTAGGGGACGAACTCGGGCTATCGTCGCTTGTTTCTTCACAGCTCATTATTATGCTATCGATTAATACATACTGCTTCACTTTTTCTTTTTGCAGTTGATTGGTGAAAACATTCATTTTAAACCTTGGATCGAGAAAGGTAGCAACCAAATGATTTTTACTCGTTGTTATGTCTTCAAATCGTTCTTGTAACCCTTGTTGTATGACGAGTATTGCCTGGCTTAATTTGAGTGTTAGCTCTTTTGACGTGCTCATTTTATTGTAATATCGCATTAAGGTAGCAACATACGGAATAATTTCAGAAATGCAAGCGAAGCCGGAACTTGTAAGTTTTGTTATCTCCTCAAATGGCTGCAATAATTTCAAAAGATGCTCCAAAAGCTCTCACTGTGCAGCAGTCAAATTGGCAATATGACAGTCCGTCAGATAGACAGAAATGGCTCGTTTTTGTTGCATTAGCCTTTCGAGCATATAATATGTAGAGTTCCAACGCGTGCTAACATCTTGGACTAATTCATGTTAAGGAAGACCCAAATCATTTTGGATAGAATGCAGTTTTTCTTGTGCAGTCCCAGAATGATTAAAATGAGTTACGATTTTTCTACCTGTAGTTATCATTTGAGTCACATGTAACTGAACCTTTACACAATCATTTACAATCAATTGAATAGTATGAATGAAACAACGTGCTAAGGCCAACTCTGCACCACTAACAGCTTTTACTATGTTTCGTCCATTATCATGAAGAACTATATGAATGTTTTTACGGACGTCCCACAAATTTGCAATTTCTTGTAAACTCATAGCTATATTCATTGCTGTGTGTTGTCCCTCAAAATGCTTGATGCTCAATACTACATGTTTGAAGTTGAATTGGCGGTCAATAAAATGTGCAGTAAAACTTAAAAAACTGTTATGATTATGCAAGGACGTCCACATGTCGGTCGTTACGGAAATATAATCTGTCTCTGAGAGTAAACTTTTAATTTTCTCAACCACTTTACGATAAATTTCTGGAATCACATTGTCTGAAAAGTAAGGACGACTTGGTATATTGTACCGCGGCAAAGCACTATTAATCAGTCTTCTAAAACCAACCCTTTCTACTATATTTACTGCCTCATCAAGTGCAATCATTTCAGCAATTAACACATGGTACTTTTTTGCCTTGGGGTCATTAATATCCCATAGTTTATTAATTTCTGCACATTTTTTCAAGAGTTAATTGTTTTTTTGAAGGTTTATTACTTACATTCGTATCTTGATTTGTAGTTTCTTGCCCCTTAGGGAACGTGGGTACCAACTTATAATATTCTTTATTGTGCTTATTTTTTAAATGATTTAACATTCCCGATGTTGTCGCCTTTCTTCCAATGCCACCACGAGAAATTTTTATTTCGCACAGTTTACACACGGCACTTTTTGGGTCATTTACATCATCCTCGAAGTATGCCCATATAGGCGATTTTTTTTTAAAGGCCATAATCGATTTTTGATTATTAAAGTACGTTCGTAATTATGTAATTGTTTATTTGTTAAATTTAACACTATCACACTTACAAAGAGATCAAAACTAAGAGAGCACAATAAACTGTACTTAACGTAATATGATATCCACGGAATAAACTTGTCGACACATGCAGTGCGTTAGCAATATACCGCGCAGAGCAACAGCGGGCGCGCGGGCGATGAGTACGTTAGAACAAAACAAAGGAGCGCGAAACAATCACGTCTGTACAAGTTTTTGGAGCAAAAATCCAGCCAAATACTTTTGCCTAATATTCGATCAGGGGTCTCGCCGAATATTCGGTATACTGCCGAATATTATACTATTCGTTGCAAGTCTAGTTCAGAACTCTTCGAAGGTAAGTTTTAAGTGTGTATTGTTATTTAAATAGTATGTATCATTTATATTGAAGGTGTGTGTGTTTACGAAATTATTTAAGTATTTTTATTTATATGACGACTTATTCATAGGTACTTAGGCTATAGGTAAGATTTTTTTAAATAACGTACCTATCTAGTTAATATGCAACTTAGTAGGAAAATTGACTTTTCAGTTTATTTATGAGCTGTTTATACCTTTACATGTCGTACTTCACTGTACTTGTAAAAAATAATGCAGCGTATCACCTAATTTCATTTTTTATTTTAGACAAAATGCCGCGAAAATATAAAAGGAAAATAGGGGCACCCGTTCGTGCTGCTTGGTCTGAAGAAGCCCTTTGCAAAGCTTTTGGGGAAATGGATAAAGGCAAAGGCGGTATAAATGAATATCTCGTCGTTATGGTATTCCATCTCGAACTTTAAGGAGGCGATATGCTAAAAAAAACTGTGAAAAACTTACTTTGGGTAAGTAATAGAGAAATTAATTGCCCTAAACAAATTCAATTTAGGTCTTCTTAGTTTGTTTTTTCATACTTGTCCTTTTTGAATCCTCAGTTTTTTTTCTGTACCTATTAATTTCTTCTTTTTCAGGAAAACATCCCACACTGGACTTTGACAACGATAAACGTCTCGTAGCGCACATACAAAAATTAGAAAGGCAGGATTTCCCACAACACGACAGGATGTAAGAAGACTCGCTTTTGAATTTGCCGAGAAACTGGGTTTGGAAAATCCTTTTAACAAAGAGACACGTATGGCTGGTCAGCACTGGCTCAAATTATTTTTTGAACGATACCCAGAACTCAGTATTCGCCAGGCAGAAGGTTTGTCTATTGCAAGGGCTCAAGGATTAAATGAAGAGATGAAGTAAACAAAATGTTTTAATTGTTGCTGAAAATACTAACTGAAAATGATTTGATCGATAAACCTGATCGAATTTATAATATTGACGAAACTGGAGCTACTAAAGCCCCGGATACACTAGGGAACATTTTGTCCCGCAACATGACGCGCAACACAAAATATACGTGACGCTGCAACGTTGTATAGTGTCTCGCAACATGACCCTCAACATTTTACGTGACGCGGGGCATGTTGCTTGCTCCCGCCTCGAGAGCGAGCGCATGTGTCCCGCGTCAGTGTTGCGCCATTTGTCACAGAGTGTAGTCGCGTTCGCAACGTGCCTTTAAAATGTCTGTAGTGTGGGGAAATGATACCGTGCTTTTGCTTATAGAACTTTACGAAAGTCGTGACTTGTTGTGGGATACTTCACACCGTGACTATCGAAATAAAATAAAGAAAAATGATGCATGGGAGGAAATTGCCAAGGCGCTTAAATTGCCTAGAAAAGAAATAGAAACCAAAGTTCATACCCTGCGTTCGCAATTTGTCCGAGAAAGGAAGAAAGTGAAATCGTCAAAAACTACTGGTAGTGGACGAGAGGACGTGAAGTCCAGTGCATGGTTTGCGTATGATGCAATGAAATTTTTGCTAAAGGGAGCCACAACGTCTGGAAGCTTGGACACTTTGGACACAAACGTAAGTCATGCTTATTTATTTATAATTTATTGGACGGACATACAAGGAAAGGAAAAGTACGACACAGAAGAGTACACATACAATAGGTAGGTAAACCTTATCACTAAGATAATTATATATATATATATATACACCTCACCCACAAAACTTCACTTCTAAAAGGATTGACGATGTTCAGTAACATAAAAAAAAAAATAGTACAGTACTAGTTTATTCATTTAAAAATTATTCTGCCAGGGAACACGTCCTTCTTCACTCATGAAATATTCAGCAAATTTGTTTCTTATTTCCAAAGCAGATTCAGGGTAGCGTCTTCCCATAGCATTTAAATTCGACATATTAACAGAGCCAGTTTCTCTGCGCCAAGATCCTTCTAAAATATCGTGATCCAAATTTTCAGAATCAAAAGTTCCATGTGGGTTGTACAGTGATCTCGATTTACTATTCGCCTTAAAAAATTATGGAGGTATACGCACGCCATTACAACAAGTTCAGCATTAAAGGGTACAATGGTTATGGGAGTTCGGAATATACGAAATACAACACCTAAGATACCAAACACATTTTCGACAATTCTTCTAGCTCTTGACAGTCGATAGTTAAAAATGCGTCTTGTTGTACCCACGTCATGATTACCGGGATATGGCTTCATCATGTTTTCTGTCAGTGCAAATGCGCTGTCTCCTACAAGTACGTAAGGCATATTCGGCCCATGTTGTCGTATTGGGTCTGGAGTCGTTACAATTTTTACGTACTAATAATTAAGGATTCCTGTCTAATAGATGTTTGAAATAATACAAGTTTTATAGTCTATCCTTGTTATAATAATTGATTTAATATATCATTATTTTTTCAGAGTCCACAAAGCCAAAACACGATTTCGTCTCCGGATGAAGATGTCGTTCTACAGTCTCAATCTAGCGTTCCGGAATTTCAATCGTTGGTCGCTATATCCATCTTGTACTCTTTAAAATTTATTTAACTGAAGATTAAAATACAATTATAAATAAAATGTATGCGTTTTCTTTAACTTACCTTTACAAATATCTTCAATTTATTTATCAGTTCTTTACAAACTTCTGGTACTATTTTACGTATAAGTTGTTTTGACACTCGAAAAGTGTACGACAAAGAAGCATAAGAATCTCCAGTCGACAAGTACCTCAATGTAATGGCAAGCTGATATGAGGACTAATAGCGCTCCGTAATATTGTATCCTGTTTGGCTATGGAAGGTGCGATCATTTGCAAAAAAGTTTCAAAATCAGATGATGACATGCAAGTAAAATTCACAAACGATCCGTCAGACATTCGGAGATCACTTAGAATATTAACTCTTCTTTCTAGTTGTAATAAGAAATTCCGCATCCACCACCTTCTCTTTCTCTTACGTTTCAACACACTCGATATAATTACTATGTACGCAGCACTAATAGCCACAACCTCCTCGGGCGACATTTCTATAAACACTGAGAAGTGTGGTCGACAAAATATTCCGCGACATGTATCTCGGCACATTCCACGTAGTTGTTGAGGAACATGTTCCGCTACATGTTGCTTGTGCAGTGTTAGAAGCCTTCGGTGATACAAATCGAAAGAGTACGCTCGACTTTTGCGTTCTTCACCCGTTTGCAGATCGTTGTAGTACTTAAAACGCCCAGCAACCCTTTGACGGCGATCGTTAGTGTAATGGTGCCGCAACGTAAACGTAAGCACTTCGTGCAAAAATTCTTCCCTCAATCCATTAACAATGGCGAAATTGACAATAATCATTCGATTGTCCCAGAATGCTGCCCGTATAAAGGCCGGCCACGTTTTACAGTCACCTATGGCATCTTGCAAAAGAAGCCAAGGGTTTTTATTAATAAGTTTTATCCACGTATCCACATTAGACACCATAATATCGAAGCAAAAATTTTCACGAAATGGAATAACTACAGCGGGAAATATTCCCAGGTCGATTAGGAGAACAAAGAACCACTCGCTACTATAGCGGGAATAGATCTCAAGTCTATCGACAAAAGCGGCAAATATGTATTTCCATAGACCGACTATTACAGTAAAAAACATTCACGGAGTTCGACTAATATACCTAAAGAAAAATATACGCAGTTTGTATCTGACAGCCCAAAGTTAATGGAAAATGCAACTACTATAGCGGAAATTATTCACGGAGTTTGACTGCAATAACGAAAAGTATTCACCGAGTTCATGTACCACAGTGGAAAATCACCACAAAGTTGAAATTGTATAGCGTACATGTGCAAAGTTTATTTAGGTATTGGTGAATGAATGAAAATCTGAATATTCGACGAATCGGAATGAATTTTGACGAATCGATTTCGACAAATCGACTTCGACGAATGGTTTCGACGAATTTCCCGTACATTGATCAGCAGTTCTGCCAAAATGAATAGAAACTACAACTTTTTTCAGTTGAGCTCAATATTAAAAGATGAGGAAAAAACGCTGCAATGTTTGCGCGACATAGAATTGATCCCAACCTCCAGATATTGTAACAAACACAAAAAATATATGAGTTTAAACGAGTCCCGTTTGGGTTGTAGTCAATTTATTTGCCAAAAAAAGGGCAAATATAATCACAATGCTACAGTGGCCAATAGTACTTGGTTTAAGAGGTGTCACACGTCTCCCGCAATCTGTATGCTAATCACATACGGTTTGGCAGAAACTTGACTTTCGAGCAGACCATTCACGAAAGCAGCATTGTCGATGGGCAAACAGTATCGACGGAAACGGTTGCGGATCGGTTTTTATTAAATAAAACGAATTTATCAGGTATCTTCGTCATACGCTTATTTGCTGATGGATGTGGCAAAACAAGAATAGCATAATGCTAAGTATGCTATCTAAATGGCTATTGGAAAATGTTTCTGTCGAACGCATTGAAATAATATTTCCCGTAACAGGGCATTGTGTTATGCACCCGGACAGAGTTTTCGGTAATGTAGAAAAAGTTCTAAAGAAACAAGAAGTAATCATTCAACCAGAAGAATATTGCGAATTCATTTCAAGTAGTGCGACGGTCACGAATCTAAGGGATATTATTATATTTGACTTCAAAACGGCCGCTCAAGAAGTCTTTAAGCCGACAGCGAAATGGCCATTCAAAATAACCCAATGCAAGAGATTTATTATAAAAAGATCTAAGATTTCAGGAAACACAGTTATCCGCGGTGAACAGTTTTACAAGTCAGATTCAAATAAATCCTTTAATGTCTGCAAATTCGGATTAGAATGGCAAGAAAGAGAAGACTTACAATTTTACTTAGGTATTATTAGAGGGCCATCGGTTGAAGGAAATGAAAATTTACAAGAAAGTTTTTGTGAAGGGATAGCAGAAACACCTGTCTTAAGAATATAATAATGATAAAACTATAAATGCAAATATTTCACTTACTTATTTGAAAATTGATTAAAATTTGTAAAATAATATACTGTTATTGTTTTTACTTTATCGAACGTTTAAGAACATCACTAATCCGCAGGATTCAAAATGGCGACTGTAATTATCAAACTAAGCTATATCCAGTTAGTCAGAATCAAATACAGCAATATCCTATAGTTGGAATCAAAGCCAGCTAAAGGCTATTTTATTATCACTTTGTACTCAAATATACAGGAAGCTTTATTAATTAAAATTCAGATTATTTCTAATGTTCAAATTCTTTACAAATCTGTCTTAAAATATAGAATATTGTAGCTACCTGAACAAAGTTATCGATTTTGTAGCTTACTGATTATTTGACAGACTTGGATTTAGCTGCCTTTGATTTTATAGGCCTCATATCTCTTAAACTATTTATTTTATAAAAAAAATTGTTAACATTTTTTGTTGCAAATTAAATTCTCTACAACTTTGCTCCAGTAACTTTTCGTCGTAGAACTATAAATAAAAAAGTTATAAGCGAAAATCTTCAGAAATTTGAGAAAAAAAATTATATTTTTCGATGTAACTTTTTTTTATCATTTTCCGAAAAAATGATATCTGACCATTTTTGTACATCGTTTTTAGAGGAACCACTTTTATTCGCATCATTTTTTCATTAAGTCAATATCTAAGGATTAACTTTTTTTATAATTTTCCGAAAAAATGATATCTGACCATTTTTGTACATCGTTTTTAGAGGAACCACTTTTATTCGCATCATTTTTTCATTAAGTCAATAGCTAAGGATTTACACTTGTAACTAACTATACTCTGTCAATTAAGTCGTGAAATTTATTCTTGAGGAACTAACTAATACGGTGTTCTTTAGTTTTATAAACAATGGGGCTTCCATGGACTATGAAGTAAGCGGCAGTGGCGCCATCATTTATTTTCCCGCCTTTATTGACAGAGTATATTTCTTTCTTATATAAATTTCGAGAGGGAAAGCAAAAGGAAATGTTGGTGAATCTCACGTATATTGAAAAAACAGGTATTTAGATAAATTCGTGGTTGTTACCTCTGTTGGTAGAATTTAGTAGTTGTTCATATAGTCTATGCTTATGACATTTAATCTGCAGCTGTCAAAAAATTATTCGCCCTTGTCACTTGAAGTCTGGAACGAGTGCGCGTGAGTTTCATATTTTTATTAATATTATAAGATTTTTCCCGTCAATTCATGCTAAGTTCTGCTAAAAGTGCAATTAACAAAACACAAATACACTCGGGTTGCCTGAAAGAGATCGCTTATAGCGATAAGGCCGCCCGGTACACTCTATAGTTTTAAATTGCATGTGTATGTTCTGTTTGGTGTACCTAAGTGTGAAATAAGTAAATAATTACTTAATTGTGTCGTAGAAGCACCGTCGAATGTAGATATATACTTCGAAAATCTGGTTAACCTCCTACTAGGAGATATGTCTTACAAGCAAATAAGGTACATAGATGCACAAGCTTTGCATGCTTAGCCGGTCTTTAGTGCTTTGAAAGCTAATCCTGTTCTCACAAAAAATCTATCCCCTGTTACCAATGCAGGAACAGATAACACGAGCACACGCTTTAGGCACAATTTTGCATGGTTTGCTATTGGAAAGGGATGCGTTGGCTAGCACATTAAAAGGTTTTTCTGAAAAACATCCGTCGCTGAAGCAGGATCTAAAATCTGCTTTTCCAACAGACTCTCAAGTTCAGAGTCGTTTCTAATAACCTCCTACAATATGTGTGTGGGCGTAGAGCGGAAGTAATAGAGCAAAAGAGGGAGAGTTTGCTACCCAAAGATGAATACCAAGCCTCGATTTTAAATACAATTCCTCCGTCTACTTCCCACATTTTTTTCGTGACCAGAATTTATTTTGTGAGCAATACTTTTTTTTGCAAAAAAAAGCTTTTTCATCCAAAACGCTACAATGCCCCGCAACAATCATCAAATACACAAAATCACATCAACATCCTCGACCCGGAAAAATTCTATATGTAAACGCCAAAACCCTACACTCAAAAACCCAGTACTAGCAAAGCACCCGAAAATTCTTCCTAAATATCTGGGAAAGGGAGGGCGCGCCCTTGGGTATCCTAAACATACACAAAAAAGATGGACATAGAGATTCAGTCACAAAGTCATCAAGGCATACTGGAGGAGTCTACAAAACTACTAGTACTACAAAAACAGGGTTTTTGTCTAAAACGTTTCCAGTACCCAAGCCGGATGGAAGAACTCGACCAATTATCAACCTTCGAGGCTTCGACCAAAAATGTTTCGTTTATTGAATCACCAAAAACCTCAATTGTAACAACAAGGAGATTATCTGGTAAAGATAAATATTTCACAGGCTTATTTTCAGAATTACCTATAAAGAAAAAGCACCGAAAGTTCATCACGGAAAATTTCTGCAGTTTTCATGCCTGTCCACCGCTCCCCTAACATTTGCCAGAGTATCGAACTGGATGGCATCACGTCTAAAAGAGATGAACATAAAAGTGATAGTAGGTAGATACCTAGATGATTTTCTCTTAGCAGACCAAGATCCGTCCAGACTAGAAGCCAACGTTGCCAAGACAGTCGAGTTTTTAGAAAAACTAGGATGAATTATAAATCTCTAAACTCAGCGATTAATTAGGAATTCTGTGGGACACCACGAACTAAAAAATTCTGCAGTCACACCACCAGTACTTCTTATTCTAATGTGGGTACAATCTATACAGCCTGTAAATGTAATTAAAATTTGCCGCCTTCTCAGTACCTAAGTTAATTGTCATTGTCAGTATAAAATAATATGTCGTCTCTTCCGATTGTTCCCTTTGATATATACACTCTGTTCGCACGCAATAATTGTTGTTATTAAACTTTTATTTAATTAAACAAGCCCAGTTTTATTTTAACAGTATTTTAGTAATCTTGGTAAACAAAGAATAAGATAGTTTTCAAGAAATACACGTGTTGATACATAACCGCAAAAGTGTCGGTTAGCGAAACTTTTACTTCTTTTCAGCTATAACAAGATTCAATATTTTAAAATTCGAAAATAAATTGAAAAAATTTTCGACTCGGGCAGGACTTGAACCGGCATCGTCAGCGTTCCGTGCTGTTGCTCTCACGGAAGAGCTTAAATTATATAGTTTCTTCATGTGCAATAACATGTAAAAAAATATTAATGTTTTCAATATGAACAACTATGTCAATTCCGAAACTGACCGGTCGTGAGAATTGTTCTTGGAGCTTTGCTGTAAAAGCATACTTGCAGCATGAAGACTTGTATAATTTCATATTGTCAGAACCAAATCTCAGTGATCCAAAATCAGTTAAAAATGTTGTGAAAGCTAAATAAAAACTAATATTATTACTTGATCCAGTATTATATATTTATATACAAGAAGCTGAAAATGCCTAACAGGTGGGATAACCTAAGTGCTTTTCGCTGAAATTTGGAACGATACCAAAGACAGAAGAAATTAGATGTATTGGTTTTAGAAAGGTACCTTTTTATTTGTAATGAGTTTCCAATCGATAAATACAACCCAAGAGCGTACTAGCGTTGAGAAGAAGCGAAAAAAACAATCTTAACTCTACACATCCACAAACGGCATTTCCGCCAGTAAATTATAATATACTTCCTGCCACACACATCACATGTAGATTCACAATTTTCACAACAAACTTAGCAATTACATATTGATAATGCATGCGTTCCGACAAGGCGCTAAAGATCCATAGATTCATTTCTGTGCACTAAAAGAGTGTTTTTTGCTAAACGTCATAATGAAGAAGAAAAGTAGGATTTGTTGTACACAAGATTGATGAGAAATATACGGCGGTCGGAAGTGTTAACATTTAGCGAGCTATTAACTAAAGGTGATCATTCTGAATTGTTTTACAAAGAAGAGGGAATTCAAAAAATAATTTCGATAAGGTGTTCTTTATGTTTAAAACAAGAGTGTAAAAAAATATTAACCAAAATAAGTAATAAGTAGATGCACCTGGAGGGTAGAAGCAAATGCACAATATACAAAGGGCAAGACACACCTCCAAAATCCGTACAGTTTTACTCCATGATTAACACACCTGTTGAAGATGGCGTTAAGATTCCAATGACATTAAAATAAACAATTCTAATGGATATGCATACTTAGATTCTGCAGCACGAACTAGCAACGCTGTATACGATAAATTTGGACACCGGTTATTCTTTCACAGACGAAGAAGCATTTATCTATTTGGCCGATGGAAGTAAAAATCAAATAATGTTAAAAACCATCACAGTTGGTGTCATAATGGGTAATCTATATTATATTCTGTATACCTATAACATTATCTGCAATGCCCGGAGGAACTATCGTCCGTACTATTCTTGGTACCGATTTCATGGAACCTGCTGTAATATTTTTTAATTAACCTCAAAAATCTTGGTATTTTATAGATATACCAAAAGTAAAGTTACTATTGGTCCAACTATACATTTTGTCTTTTTCTGAAAAAAAGAAACTAATTCCGTAATATTACAAAATTCATCTTCCATCAAAACAATTGACTTCTTCAGAAGTAGGAAACGAAGAAATTCCACCTAATTTTCTAAAATGGTTTAACGATATGAAGATGTTATCTCCAATACAAGATACACCACCACGTGCTGCCTCAAATGCCTTTACAGGCAACCGAGGATGGAAATAATTAAAATTGAAGACTCCACAACACCACAACATAGTACGTCCGCGAGAACCAAGGGCTGATAACGAGGATCTTTTAAACCACCAAGTTTCTCGTGTTAAATATTTACCAATAAATCCTGTTAAACTTTATTCTGTTGATGTTTCATTTCATGATTACTACCTTATTACACTTAGAAATTATGAGGCTGGAGTATAAAGTCACCACGCACGTACACAAGTAACCTTCGTAAAGAATGTAAGGGTATTTTTAATAAAACAGGCCCTACAACACACAGATTATAAAAATGATACTGCCAGTCAAACCTTGTAGATTGCCTCTGTAGTGCCCTATAATGCAATCTCACTGGCTCGGCAACTCACTGTGTGCGCAGGCGACACGTCCGCTCTCGCCCCTTGGCTCTCGCTGCAATGACCGCGCACCCCGCCACACAGTAGGCACGAGACAGTGTCATACGTACTAAGGACTATAGGTTCTACTCAAACACTACAGCCTCCAATTCTTCAACAACAGCACTGAAGGCAAGGCTAATGTTCAAGTATCATGTCTCTGGGTCATAAAATAATATAATGCACACATGGGCGGCGTTGATTTGATGGATAGCTTCATTGGACGATATCGCATCCGCATAAAGTCGAGAAAGTGGACAACGAGGCTACTACTTGTTAGACATGACTGTCATCAATGCTTGGATATTATACAAAAAGGTAAACACACAGAGAAAGGGAAACTTATAATATGTTAGCAGATTATAGAGCTGAGCTAGCCGAAAAATAAAAGGGGAAGACCCAGTACAAGACGACAAGATAGTATAGTACCTTCTAAAAGAACCTGGACAGGTGCAGAAGTACTACCAGCTACTGACGTGCGTTGCGATCGTATTGGTAATAAAAAAAAAAATTCGGATTCTAGAAATAAGTGTAAATTTTATAATTGTAGGAAACTTACCTCTTGGTTCTGTAAAAAGTGTAGTGTCATAATATGCGATAAAAAAAACAACTACTATTTCGCATTATTTCATGCACAGGTGCATACCTATATCTGATTTCTTAATGGCCATAAAGCCTGAATTATCAAAATTGATACGGTTATTTTTTCTAAATAAATATTGTGTTTTTTGCCCATTTTTCCCCTTTATATAGACCCTCAAGCAAACACAGTAATATATAAAAAAAAACTCTTAAAACAACGCAAACAGCGTGAAATGCATATCCACATTCTCTACATGTATGAACTTCTGTAGTTTCTTGTGAACTGACGCTTGCCTTCTTTAAAGTTATTTTGTGCTTTTATTGACATGGTGCACAAAGTTCAAGATCATTTTCAATATCCTTACGTGTTATGTTTTTGTAATGACTCCATACCTCTTTTCATCAAGCGATCTCTTCCGCCATAACCAATTCGAATATATCTATCGCATGCGTGGTTAATAAAAGTGCGTGTAGTTTCTTTAATAGGAAAAATAAGCTTACTGTTCTAGGCAATGGTATGCACGTTGTATCGCCGCAATAAACAATAATTTTCTCGTACTTATTTTTCTAGCAGTGGTTTTGCCGTAGAAACTTCTTTATAACACATGTAGGAAATGTGTTATGTGTAAGTTTTACACATTTTGGTCCGATTTTAGGAACTACTTATTTAATTTATGTCATTCCAATTTCAAAATATGGTAACTTTATTTTGAAATACTAATCAAATCCAAGTTTAAGTCGTTAATATTCTTAAAATAGTTTGATTGCTGTCCTTGGTTCTTGACCTTGTGATAAGGATGTGGGAACTAAATACAAGATGAATTATAAGTCATTATCGTATTAATCACGTCTAATTACAATTTTTAATTATTGGAAATTATTTTATTCCCACGCTATTTTTGTTGTTGTTTTTAAATCTATTTGACCTTCCAAATCTCCAATTATTTTCCGTGCATTAAACATCATTGAAGGGACATTTTAGCGTCAGTTTAATACGTTAAACATATAATAAAATTAAAAGAGAGCGATGAAGTAGAAGTGGAGATTTATTAATTCAGTCATTGTGTAGCAAAGCCCTGACAGGGTTGCCCTCAATGTAGCTTCGAAGTTCGAGCTTACTTACGAATAAAATTAATTGTCTTCTATTGTCGACTACGCATAACACGTGGGTTCGATGCAGGCGACTAACTGAAAGCATTACACAATTGTTTCTAATCCCCATAATTGTTTTACTAAGTACCTTGCCAGATACAATCGACCAAGTCTTTACCACTTTTGCTATATTAACATTGGCGTCTGCTGCTGTCGACCAGATCAGACCAGTTCACGCAGAAGTTGGTATAAGAAACAACGGGAAAAAAACTAGATTTTTGAATAAAAAAAGACTGCACAGACCTTAAGAAACTTGGGAAAAAAATATATATCTTCATCATTAAAAAATGTTCCAGAAAATCTATGGGTAGACCATGTAGCGATAAATGCCGGCGTCATTGAGGCAACAATCATGAAAGTAAAATACAAAGGAGAGGATGTCTTGATCCCGCGAATACCGATGATTCTATCTATTTACCATTCGATTTTAAACGCTTACAATTTCCAGTACGTCTGGCCTTTACGATGACAATAAATAAATCGCAAGGACTGTCTTTAGAAGTTTGCGGAATCAACTTGGGGTTTCCGTTTCGCGCATGGACAATTATACGTCGCGTGTTCGCGCGTCGGAAAACCGTCTTCTTTGTTTATTTACGCACCACAAAACAAAACAAAAAATATAGTTTATGAGAAAGCTTTAAATTGATTAACAAACTGTATCATAAAAGTGTGTGTCTGTTAATAAAAATTTAAACCTTATAACTTCGTTTTTTTTAACCCTTAAATGGAAATGTTGTTTTTAAACAACATACTAAACATCACAGATAAAATTATCTTTATTTTATTTTTTTGTTAATTTTGACAACTAGTTCTTATTTCTGAACGAATTTTGTACTTTTTTTAATGTTGGCACTATCCAATATTTTTATGCATTAAAAATAAATGAATGTCAAATGTCACTTTGAAGAAAACTTTTCTAGTGGCGCGAAACTAAGTTTTGAAGCTGTGTTCGGACTTTGATAAAATATAATGTAAGTATATAACATATTTTTATTTGCTTGATTATATCTTAAATTACATGTTCATGTTGTAAAACATTGAAAATTACTTGATGCTACTGTCGAATTACGCGAAATCTGGTATGTTGTAGGAAAACTACAATGCGCATTGCCTGCTAAATAAATGCATGTTTGGTGAAGGGTTTTTATTTTGCTTTTCAGCATGCCGCGATTACTAGAAAGCGAAATTACAAAGTATTTAGAAACTCTTGAAGATTCAGAAGATGGCTTAGACGGCTCGGACTCCGAAGTAGAGGATGAAGGTCACTATTATCAAACAGCTCGAGATGTTCTTCGGGACCTTGAAAATAGTGATGAAGGTGAGAATGCCCAGTCTGATGAAGTGGATGCTGATCCTCCTCTCGTAATTAACAACGATCAAAATATGCCAGACCCTCCTATTTTGGAAGCCGGAGAAGCAGTACCCCAGAGTAGATCACAAGGGATTTCTAAGCGACCTCTGGTTTGGCGAAAACGGAATCTTGTTACTGCTGAAGACAGCCTTATTTTTAGGGGAGAAACTCAGATAACGGAAGCATTGATGTCTTGTAACACGCCGTATGATTTTTTTTTCATTTTATTTTACATCAGATCTAAAAAAGCAAATTGTAGAACAAAGTAACTTATACGCGGCCCAGAAACAAATATCCAATCCTGAAATTATAAATGAAAATATCTTAAATAAATTCCTAGGCATTCTGATTTACACCTCAGTCATAAAATTTCCAAACACCAGGGCTTACTGGAGTGATAAATTTGGTTATGATCACATAAAAAATACGATGCCGTTAAAAAAATTTGAAAAAATAAGATCCACTCTCCACTTTGCCGACAATACGCTATGCTTACCCAAAGATCATCCAGACTATGACAGGCTATTCAAAATAAGACCTCTTGAGGAAATGCTCAACTGCCAGTTTGGAAAGGTTCCCTTAGACCAAAGGCTTTCCATAGACGAGCAGATGTGTGCAACCAAAATGAGCCATTACATAAAACAATACATGCCCAATAAACCCCACAAGTGGGGGGTTCAAATTATATCTCATCTGCAGTCTACAAGGATATGCTCATAGATTTGAGGTTTACAGTGGAGGGGGCTCCAAAAATAACATCTTACCTGGTGAGCCAGATTTGGGAGAGTCTGGAAATACAGTCGTCAGGTTAGCTAGAATGGTACCACGCAATGTGAATCACATTATATACTTCGACAACTTCTATACTTCTGTGCCTCTCGTCACCTATTTAGCTTAGGAAGGAATTTTCTCACTGGGAACAGTAAGAGTAAACCGATTGAGAAACTGCAAATTGCCTGACAAAAACACTATAATGAAAAAGAACGTACCCAGAGGATTCTATGAGGAAAACGTGGCGACTGTGGATGATATTGACGTAAGTGCTGTTGTGTGGAAAGATAACAAGCCCGTTAACCTTCTTTCCACTTACGTAGGAGCAGAACCAGCAACCACAGTCACGCGCTTTGATAAATCGAAGAAAGAGAGAGTTGCTATTCCATGCCCCAAAGTCATCAAGGAGTACAATGCTCACATGGGGGGCGTGGACTTATTAGATTCATTTATAGGTCGTTATCACATCACAATGAAGAGCCGCAAGTGGACCATGCGCTTATTTTATCATTTCCTGGACCTCGCAGTTATAAATTCATGGGTTATGTTCAAGAAGGTAAATAATATAAAAGGAAATGATCAACTTCTCAATTTGGGTACATTTAGACTAGAACTTGCCGAAACCCTCTGCAAATTGGGTCTACCTGCAAATGGCGCTAAACGTGGTCGACCTAGTGGGAGCACAATACAAAGAGAACTTGTAATGAAGAAGTTCCGAGGACCAGCTCAAGCAATTCCTTTGAAAGACGTCAGATTGGATCAGACATGTCATTGGGCAGTTTGGCTGGATAAGCAGCAGAGGTGCAAATTCCCGAAATGTTCAGGATTTACGTTCAAAATGTGCCAAAAATGACGTGTATCTTTATGTGATACGAAAAAAAGCAATTGTTTTTATAAATATCATAATTTAGAATAAATAAACACATTTCAAAAACAATCTCCACTCTTATTTTACCCATACTTGCAAAATATCATTGAATGCGCAATGTAGTTTATAAACAACACTCACATTATTGCAAAAAAAAAATAGTAAATTCATGTCTAGATTTTTTTACTAATTTTTCCTAGACAGTAATACATGTCTATTACACAAATATATTTTTTAAAACGTAAAAAAAAATCGTCCATTTAAGGATTAAGTAACCATCGAAAATAATAATAAAACTTCATGCTTCATTAAAAAAATGCTTTTTTATTCAATACGTTTTGTTTGGTTTGAAATTAATTTATACCAAAGTTTAGGTCTTTTATTTATCGATTGAGGCAGTACTAAGTCTGCCGGGTCAGCTAGTACAGTCAATATATTGTTTTGAATATGAATTTTAAGTTGAGCAGATCAATATTAAAATCGCCAAGCACTACCCGCACGATTCCGAGATTCGAGTTGGAGACAATAACTTTCAAGGAACTGCTTGTTGTCTGTATCTCCTGGTTTATTTTAAATTATTGAATTCTATAACTCCACAAAAGGCGCGGTTGATACAGTAGACCAAATGTGTTCGATCATGAGTACCAACCGATGGCCGCTTTGCTTGTTTTTCAATATTCTGAATCTGACTATAGTAAATGCATATGTCATCCATGTCTCTAATGCGATCCGTAATGGAAAAAAACCCATGAAAAGGAGGCCTTTTGATTTACAAATGGCAGATGATCTCATGAAAATGAATAAATGAATGAATGATGGCTGCAAGAGAGATATCAGACTGTAACTTTGCAGCGAAATCTGAAGCTCATCATCGCAGAGATCTTGAAAATGAATCCTCAGAAAGGTCCTAGTCATGACGTACCTAAAACGCGAAAAACTTGCAACACCTGTCCCGCAAAAAAACGTCGTATGACGACGACATTCTGTAAGGGGTGCAAAACACCGATTTGCAGGGAGCATGTGGTATCGATGTGCAATTTGTGTTCAGGATAGTAATTTATAAAACATATTATTTAGTTTTATTAAAAGATAAGTAAGACTGTTAATTTAAGTCATTCTGTGCCATTAATAAAGTGATTTCTTAATTATTGATGTTTTAATTTGTCGTAAAAATTACGAATGGTTAGTGACAATGTCACTCGAAATTAAGGTTACTGAATTGAATTAGGGTTAAAAGGAAAAATAAAAACCCTTACATGTAAGGTTGATTCATAATTTTTATTTTTCTTCAGATGCCTAGACAAAGTGTGCTCTCTCATTCTACCTTCAAGGAAAAAAAAATGGGCACCTTAACTTCGACGGCCATTACATTCACACCCGCAACTTAGAAATAATAGATCTAGTCGTGAAAATCATGTCAGGATTATCAGCCTCCCGCCTCATACAACGCACAAGCTCCAGCCTCTGAACAAGACACACAAACTGTCATGGGTGCCCTTAAATGTCACTATAGTGAGGAAATTCGCAAAGTTTCTTTGGCTTCTGACAGAGCAGACAATGTTGAGATTAAGGGAATTGCGTTAAAGAAGAATGAGATTTTCAAGACTAAGTTGTAAAGTTATCCCAAATCAACTATATATCCTCCATTCCTACATATAGTACCCACATACATAAAAGGCATCGCCCAAGTCTTAAAAAAGTACCCTTTGCTAAAACGAATTTGTTAGGAAAAGCGTCCTGGACAAGAGCAATAGAGGCAGTGGACGTACTTCATAGGCAAAAAGACATTTTCTATGATGCATGGAGTGAGATCGTGAAGTGTTTACAGTTTATGATTTCATATGGATTATAAAATAATAAACTGGTAATAGTAAACTAATGATATTTAATATTAGTTTATAGTTAGTTATAAGTCACAGTTTTCTTGTATTCTATATTTCTATTTGTTAATTTTTAAGTTCAGTGTCGAATTGGGCTTCCACCTGTCATGACATTGTAATTTTAATGATTAAATAAATAATTTGTAATAAGACAAGTGACCGCTTTATATAAAGTTATGTAGAATTTCATTTATTTGTGTTTTATATATATTATATAGTATTTACGGATCACTGTATATTGTATCCTGTATTTAATGTAACTCTTATGATTTTACATCGCTGCCAGCTACATTATGCCTCACTTCTATCTTCAGTTCGCTTTGTACATTGCGTGTGAAGTAATAATAATTAACAATTTGTTGCCAGAAAAAAGTTAAAAGGTATTGCAATTGATATTTATTTTAACTGAATTAGGTTTTATGGGATAACATCAGAAAAAATACATTTTGTTAAAAACTAATATAAAAATAAAGTAAGACCAATCATGTACTGAATCGGACACAATCGATATAGATCAATGTGATAACGAATTTGAAGCAGTGAAGTTGAAGATGTTTTTGTAAAACCAGGGTTATACTGCCTTGCCTTGACTATAATAGGTTTAGAACAAACAACTGGCACATAACGAAACTTTTTGACAGGACGAGGTCTATCGAGTCCACTAGTTTTATAAAAAAAAAATTATAAAATATTTTGTTTATTGACGACCGATTCTTATTGTCGTGTAATTGAAACGGTAAAAACATTTTAAAACTTTTACTTTATACACTTCTAAAAGTGCAGGAATTAACTCTGATCTGATGAAGATACCGGATAATGTTCCCAGTCCCTTTAAAAAACATTTCTTTTACAAGCCTCATATTAAAAAGGAAACGCCTAAATCACGTCCCAAGGAAAGAATACCCACTATTGTTTCAGGAAAAAGTTATCAGGAATATTTAAAGAAGAAATTAAAGCAAAAAGAAGATCTTGAACATATAAAAGTAGAAAAAGCTGCTGAAAAGCTTAAAAAGAAGAAAGAAAAAGAGTCATCAAAGAGAATCAAGACTCTCACAAAATTAGAATCAACAAAAATAAAGCAGGTAAAAAAAAAAACCTGCAATTGTCTTCCTGTTCAGACTCGGATGCTGTGGTCTCTGCGGGAGGAAGTGTGATTGAGTCAGAAAATGAGATTGAAAGAATTGTGGGTTTAAAACCCTCGCAAAAAGTAGATGGAGAATTTGTTATATTTAAGTACGACAATAACTTTTATCCTGGAAAAGTACTTAAAGCTATGAAAAAAACAGCAACAATCTCATCTAAGAAATCAAATGAAAAAATCAATCTCGATTATCCCTGGGATGCACTAGTTGCTCATATAGAGACTCCCAAGAAGACCAGTTCTACGAGAAATGTTTTTGATGTTATAATTTTTGAAGTTTAATGCCCATAACACATAAACATTCAGGATCATAATGCTTTTGGCAAAAAGTTTGACGTTTACGCTTTGTATTTGACAGTGTCCTTTTGTTTTATAACAATCTGTAGGATCATTTGGAACCTTGTTTTTATTTAAATTATAGGCTTAAAAGGCCTAATTATTATTATATTTCAAATAAAACGTTTTCTTTTCATCTTATTTTGCTTCTTATTTAACAAATAACCCAATTAAAATTGTAGCTTCTGAGAAGTCACCTACTGATGCAAAGTATGGTCATCTTCAAGTTTTTAGATGGTCAACTACTAAATATTAGAAATATTGGAACATTTCTATTTTTTTAAATTTTATTCGACCATTGTATGTGGGAAAATGCTTGTTGATATGTTAAAACACTTTTCACAGTGTTTCCAAAAACAGAAACCTACTGGCTTCATATAATTCATATATAATTAAAGTCAAACATTTAAAAAGAATATTCTGTCTCCTTAAGTGGTCATCTACTCATGCTTTTACCTTAAGGAATAAAACAAACAGAAAAAAACATTGGTTGATGTTTTCACCATTCAAATTTTGTACACAACAGTCCAACGCCAAACAAAGAGAAAATGCATGCATTGCAATTTCTTAAATTAATGTTAAGAAAACCTTTTTTACATTCATTTTTTAGCACTTAGGCAAAAAAGTTTGTGAGACGGTTGTCAAATGTTTTGTAGGTATGAACAAATTAACAACGACTTAAAAAAATAAACTTCGTTACTTCTCAATTGATTTCAGATTTAGGTTAGGTTAGGTTACAAACCCATTTTAGAAGTACACAAATTGCACATATCAATATCACAGGAAATATTTCAAGTTATAAATAAAATTATAGGATAACCCCCATTTAGTTTGAAAGAATTATGATTACACACATTAATGAGTGAACAACAAGGACGTCCATAAGGTAAGATAATATACACCGAGCTTTGACAGGGATATTATTTAAAAAGCGTTTAATCCCACAGAGTGTAGAAGAGTGAAAGGTTAGATATATTTTTATAATAAAATATTATTTTATAATATAATCCTTTTTGTAAACAGCTAATACTGATTAATTATTAAAATGCTTAATCCATTGATTTAACATTTAATTAATAATCTTCAAATCATCGATCAGGTATCAAAAATCGGTATTACAAAAACCGATAAAACTGAACTAATAAATCTGAGTTGTTTATTTAAATAAATCTTTATTAGCTCACGTTTTATAATATATATTATATTATACTTCTCTACCTTGAAAGAAAACGAAATAATAATAATGTAATTGCAGATATAAACATATTATTATAAATTAAAAACACCATGGAAAAGAAAGAGCTAAGTTACAACCAAGTATGTTGTACATGTCTTAGCACAAATAGAAAACTATTTCAGCTATTAAAAATTAATGACGGTTTAAATTTCTTTTACAATTTATTATCTCATGATGTAGAAGCCTATAGAGTAAGTATCACACTAATCTATCCTAATATATCGCACGCTTAGTATTAGAGTGACCTAACTCAACATTTTAGTAAAATTAGATAAATGCACTGACATTACTTTAATAACGCCATCATTAGTTTTATACGATTTGCCAAAAAAGTGTTTTTTTTTTTATTATATTATAATGCTGAAGAGTTTGTTCGTTTGAACGCGCTATTCTCAGGAGCTACGGGGTCTAATTGAAAAATGTTTTTTTTGTTGGTTAGAGCATTTATCGAGGAAGGCTATATATAGGCTATAAAACATCGCCCTGGCCCTAAAAAAAATTTGGCAAATTTTTTCATTATTTACGATGCAAAACGGCACAAGATACCAGAACAATATGTATGAAAGAATGATTTCTCTTCAAATAATCTAAAAAATAAGTCCGTGACGCTATATGTCTGCCTTTTAAAATTAACTTGCAAGAACAGTGGGTTGTTCATACAGTAAAACTTTGGAACTTAAAGAAGTAAATGTTTATATACAACACTATAAATTATTCTATTTACTTCTAGGAAAATTTTCTTAAAGATGTTACCCATTTATATGTATGCTGGGAATGTAAAGCAGTAATTGTAAAACAAGTAAATTTTAAACAACAAGTATGCACAGCCCAGAAGAGATTGATATTCAATGGTGGAAAAATAAGTGTAAGTCTTAATAATGTTACATTTTTTTTATTTGTTATGACTCAATAGTTTTGTTTTCCTGTATAGACTGTGGCTTCAGACGAAAGTTTTATATTTTTGCTGTTTTAAATTGATCCCAAATATCTATCTACAATCGAGGAGACAAAAAAAGCTTAGGGTTCCCTAACCAATTGAAAGTTGGAATATCATAGATTTTTTTTTATTTATTTCACTAGCAGCCTAAGCGTGAGCATGATAATTTATTGGACAATGAGTCTAAAAGGTTTTTGAATGTTGTTGCTGCCATAATTATACTGAATCATGAATGTGTGTCTGTGTATGTAATTTTAAAAATGTTGTTTTATTTCACAGATAAGATCTTTAGGGAGGTGCCTATCAAAGTTGTCAACATATTATGATAAACCAAATTCTCACACAACCAACATTGATATGGAAAGACTAGCCGTTTTGCATTCGTCAGGTTTAGATAAAAGTGATCAGTCTGTGTATGCTTCAGAAAATTGGATGAAACGAGAACTCAAATTAAATCATAAGGATGTAAAAATGGAGTTTCATCCAGAAAAGACCATAGAGTGTGAAGAGAGAACGGAGTTCTACACAATATTAAAATCTTCTGTAAATGAAATACAGATGCACAAGGCAGAAAAGAGATTGTCATCACATTTTAGAAAAACTTCAATACATTGTGAATTCTGTGTCCAAATATTTAAAGATAATAAATCTTTAAGACGCCACAATGAAACAACTCATACTGAAGTGAGTAATAAACTATACAGGAAATTGGTCTAAGTGAATCTTTTGGCATAGAGAAGTAAATTGGTGTTAAGTCATTCCTTTAGGTATCCAATTATCCCCATCACCCCCTGCAAACAAAAGTAAGCAAATCTCTACTAACACTAGTAATATATCTAAGGTCTTATGCTCTTGTGTTGTAATAAATAATGTCTGGTATTCACTTTTGACATACTTTTAGAAACTTTGTGTGTCTTTTGTGTTTTGTTGTTTAATATAATTTATAATATTTCAGAGACGAAATTATAGTTATTGTAATGAATGTGGTAATTACGTAAAAAGTAGCCAATTCGATGTACATAAACTTGATCACATTCGATATTATAGATGTAACTTGTGTAAAGAAGTCATATTTCTAAGAAAAATTCTTAAACAACATCTTTTAGTTATGCATAAGAAAAAACCTCCCAATTTATGGGTAAGTTCTTATTTTCTTTCTGATCTTTAAAAGTAGTTTAGTTATCATTATTACAAAGATAAACAACATTTAAACTAGGGAAACAATTTTTTTAAAAGTTAGCATTTTACCAATTGCCTATGTACAATAACTACAATATATTTCCCGTTTTAAACCGTTAAAAAAATTGCCTGATCATTACCGGTGCTATATTTGTCTTTTTGTCTACTTGCGATAGTCAGTCTTTCGTGTTTCATTGACTTCAGATACGAAAAACGCCATTAATTAAAAACCCAGGTTCAAAACCGCGGATGAACCAAGCTTTGAGAGACGCAGCGACGCCTCGCGGGTATGCCTGTCCTGAATGCGATTTATTCTTTCAGTAAGTAAGTTATTTGTATAAATTGTTTAACTTCTCGACGTTTCGCCATCACGAGCGGGCGGCATCATCAGGAAATATTAACTCCTCGAGTGCGCGAAGAATTCTTACTCAATACAAATGTAAAAACTTTGTTGTAGCTTATAAAAAAGGTGTTAGTACTTTCTAAGGGAAAACTTTTAATAATAATATTTATTATAAACTATTTATTGCCCAAACATACACATAAGAACATGGATACATAGAATCACATATACAAAATAAAACATGTTTGTGCAAAGGCGGCCTTATCGCCTATGGCGATTTCTTCCAGGCAACCTTTGCATGTAGAAATAAGAGATTTACGAAAATTCGTAAAATTCATTTGTGCAATATGGATAAATAAATGAATATTTAAGATTGCAAACTTGCCTACTACCAACACGGCTTCCGCCTCAGATTTTTCTGGAATTGACAATTTCAACATTCATATATTTTCAGAAACAAGAAAGTAAGATACAAACATATACAAAGTTGTCATCGCGCCGGTTTCAAATGCAACGAATGCGATAAAATATTCCGCTTCAAAACTAGTTTAAAGAAACATCAACTGTAAGTACAGATCATATTTTAGTTAGTCAGTTGCAAGTTTTTTGTAAAGTTCGAAAACTTACATGCTCCCAACTCACACTTGGCCAGCTATTCTAAGACGTACCTTGTGCTTTCAGAATCCATTCTGGCTTAGTAAAACGGGAGCAGTGCACCAAATGCGGTAAAGTTATTCGCGCGGAGTGTATGAATGTACACAATCAAACACACGCTCACAGCTCACTTAGATTCGAGTGTGTGCCTTGCGACAAGCGATTCTCATCGAGAGCATCTTATGAGCACCATTTTAAGTATACGAAAGCACACGCGACACGCGATATATATAAGTAAGTATGTTAAGATAAGATAATTATTTCTTCTGGATTTTAAACGAGAAAACATGTACCATGACTATTTACAAATTCCGCGGGTAAAACCGCTTTGACACTTAACGTGTATGAAGTTTTATAATTTGACAATGACGTTCTCGCGGTAATTAAATATCTGTGAATATTATTATCTATTTCAATTAATTTTCTTGTTTTAAATAAATTAAAATGATAAATAAAAAAATGTAATCAAAGTTTTATTAAAAATAAAATGTTGCACTGAAGTTAGTTAATTATTGGACTATGTATTTATTTAAATAAAACACTTTAACGTTCCGCCTAAGTTGGTATTTGGCGAAACTGGCCGGGTCCCTACAGAATACCAACTTCGACGGAACAGATGGCGCTAGCGTAGCAATTTTTTACTTTGATTTGACGTCAGAGACATCCTCCATCTTTAGTCTCCCCATGACCACGGCTGCTACAAAGCAGCCGAAACGTCGGGCCGAAGTTAAAAATCATATTCAAATAAGTTTAACTAATATATCGCGTTTTAAACCGTTAAAGTGTTTTATTGAAATGTGTACTACTCGCGTAAACTATAGACAGTATCTATGTATTTATTGATTTCATAATTACTTAATGAAGTATTAGGGTATGCTTGCTGCTTTTTTAGACTAACAACTTAACCTATCTACATTTTTATGGTAAAAATATCTTTGCACTCATATTCGTATTTTTTATTTCTGTTACTGTAAACTTACTTTAGATTTACAATATGCAGGTACAAATGCGACTATTGTGGGAAAGGGTATCGTGCTAAGAGCGAATTGAAAGACCATATAAACTTTGTACACATGGGCAAAACTCAACACTACTGTTCAATATGTAAAAAGGTAAAAGTTTTACCTTAAAACTATAGTTATATTTGAATTTAACCCGTCTCACCCGCTAACTTCACGTTTCGTTTTGCTGTCAGTCGACGTTCCATGCTAATGACCGTTTCAAAATATTATTTGAGATTAATTTCTTTTAACTTAATCTTTCAGCCTGTAGCATCAAAGCGTATATTGAAACGTCACATACGATTAATGCACGGCTCAAAGGAAGTGGATAATGTTAAATGTCAGATATGTCAAGTCTGTGGGAAAGGATTTCGGGTCCGTATTTTGTACTTTTATTTCGTATTTGTATTTTACTCAGTTATTATTCCTTTATCTTAAGTAAAATTTTTGAGGAATGATGTTTGTTTGTTCATACAAGTGGTAGGCCAATATAAAGGTACAGGTGTAACAAAAATCCATTTGTTCTGTTACAAACTTTAGTATATATAATTTTACGAAGAAACTATATACTTTTTCTTTTGCAGACGAAACGGTCACTCCGTGAACATATCATGACTCACACCGGCGAACGACCTCTCTCATGTGAGATATGTGGCAACACTTTTCGACATCATGCCTCTCTATACACTCACAAAAAGAGGGTACATAATGTTTTTTCTAAGAAAAACAAAGTTATTATTGTGAAAGAAGACTGAAAAGAATAATATTCAAATGAAAGAAGCAACAATAGTTATAATTTCATATTATTAAATAAAAATTGCCCGAAAAATAAATAATTTCATTTCTTCCTTTATATTATAGCATATTTAGTATTAATTCTGTGTATAAATTACAAGAAAAAAGATTCGAAAAAAATACTAAGATAACCAAAAAAATGTTAGTGTTACTTAAAGAGCATGTATTAAAATGATATAGTTTTGCTCAAAGAAACCGGTAATTTATATAGTCTGTATTATGAATGAAACAGGTGCTTATCTGTGACAGTACATCACTATCTTGTGGCAAATGGCGTCCTATTTTGTTCGCTGTTTATTATGATTTAAGAAAACAATACACTAAAACTTTACTACTAATTATGAAATATTTTCTGACTGCTACCCTGTGATTTATTAATCTTATCAAAATGGAAGTGCATTCAATACATGAAGTTCCTGCTATTAATATGCAACCCATGCATAATATGCACCAACAACAAATGACACAAGTGAACAATTTACAGCCGGTAGAACCTCCACCACCGCCGCAGGAGGTAAAACCGAAAGTGGACAAGAAGAAAAAGGAGGCCATAGACGGCCAGGCGCGCGAAATCATATTCAAAGTGATAAAATTCTTCGAGAGTGAAAAACAGAACAGAGGCTATGCATTTCCAGTAGAAAACGTCGTGAAGCGAGCCTGCGCTGCAACTGGATTATCTGAAAGCACCATTAAGCGAATAAAACGCGAAGGCCTACGCGCCGAAGCTACGCAAACTAAAATGACCGGTCCCAAAAAGAAACGTATACGAAAAACCAAGGTACAATTAGATTATTACAAACTTTGCGCTTTACGTGGTATCGTCAATAGTTACGCGTCTCGTAAAGAAGTGCCAACGTTAGGTAAAATACTTACAGCAGCGAAACACGAACTCGATTATAGAGGTGGTAAGGAGTCACTAAGATTAATTCTGTTAAATAAGTTAGGCATTAAGTTTAAGAAGTGTGAAAAGAAAAAGGTACCGAAGCAAGAAACTGAACAGCAGCAGTATCAGCCTCCGCAGCCTGTGATGACTCATATACAGATGGAACCTATGAAACCTGAGAACCATTGTATATATACCAATATGATGCCGCATGTTGCACCCGTGTCTTATTAGTGTTATGATAGTGTAACTGTTGTGTAGAAGTTTAATGGCATGACCATTTGCTATCATTTTAGAGTTTAAACCCCAACAGTATTGTGGAGTGTTGCGTTTTAATGGAATTCAACTTGTTAGAACACTTTTCAACATGATTGAAAATGGCCCTGCTTAGAATGAAGAGCTTTATGCATTGACAAGGCAATGCAGTTTTAAGTTTTTTTTAAATAATCACAATGATGCATTGATCACAAGGGTAAAGTAAGGAATAGCTATTTTGTGTGCAAAATGTATATAGGTACAAATCTACTTATATGAGTTATTTTTAAATTTATAATATTCTTATAATAAAGTGATTTTAATATTACTATCCTTTAGTATATACCTTATTTACAAGACAGAAAAGAAATTTTTAATTTATTCTAATCTATCACAAAATTTTGCAAGAAACTGAACTCAAGTTGAATTATCAACTGGAGATTTCTGGTTGACAGCACATTTGGATCGATATTTTCATATGTATTCTTAAAACAAGTACAAATAATAAGAAGACAGAGATTTAAGATCAATTTAAAGTTTGTTCTTTATTATACACATGTATTTGTCAGAATTAAACGCCTAGTGTTCAAACACATATTTTAACTTGTTTGTTATACAAGAGGATAAATTCCAATAGATGCCCTCAGGGTTTTCACACATTCTATTGATGGCCCCCCAATACATTAAAAATAAATCAATAAAATTAAGTATTAATGTAAATAGCTTTAAAGCAATGGAATGCACCTGTTTTGTACTTTTTTAGGATGATAAACTTGTACCTAAGCCCTGTATAAAATTACTATTGACACCTGTTGATATATTTTTTTGTAAATAAGGCTTGACAATGAAGTAATTTTAATGCTTGACCCAAGATATAGATTGTAATGTAAAAATAATTACTATATAAGTAATTATATGCAATGAGTTGACAAATTTGAAACTCTTACGTTAATCACATTTAAGTTACAGTTCTTGTTTTAAGAATAGATGAGAATGTTATAATTGCACATTTTTTTGTGGAAAAAAATTCACTCAATCTATGTTTTGCCTGTATAGATTAAACTTATAAGAATAAGGCTGAAATAATTATTAGATTATTATAATGTGTATTTATTTTAAAAAATATAGACAGTGATATTAGAATATCTTTTAATGTTCACCGACTAATTATAGGCATCATTTTATGGGATATTATATTTATATGATAATTGTTAACAGCATATCAAGCTTAAAATATAAGCTAAAATCATTAATATAAAGTAAAAAAGTTACTGCCCGTTTCTAACTGATGACTCCGGAGTCCATTACTGAAGATTCTTAATTTACATACATACAATACTGGTCTAGTATTAAAGCAGTGAATGAGGACTCAAATTAGCGACAGATGGCGCACTGCAAATTTAACCACTGTACCACATTTGTACTATTTCATGGGTCATTGTTGTATTTCTTGGTTTAGTACATAGTTTTGACACATTTAAGTAAAACACACTCTTACTTTACAATTTATTCACGATTGCAACATGTACACATCCGTCATGTTCTTGTGTTGCGAGCGTTCGTGTGTTTTCCTCGCATATGATTGCGCAAACGCTGCTGGGCAGAACGAACATTTGTATGGACGTTCGCCTGTATGTGTTCGCGTATGGTTTATCAGGGTGCGGTTGGTCTGGAAATAAAGGTGATGATGAATTTTTATGATAGTGATGGTAGATGAAATACGTCAGCCATATAACATCTAAACAAGACACGCTGACGACCTATTTTGACTTTGAATATTCGGACATCCACAGGTTGAAATCGAAACGATAGAACTTTACGGCCTTTTTCATCTAAGGATGGTGCTTCGTGACGTGGAGGAAATTTCAGTATTCCTACCATCCATTTAGTATCCCGATTTCTAGACAAACTTATGTTGTCGTATGTGTAGTTATACATTGCTATAAGTACAACTTGTCTGTCAAAATTACAGACAAAAATTTGTTTTAACGACGAATAGGAGCGAAAAGACTGAAAAACTGAGATCTTCGATTGCGTGCGCTGCGGAAACTTGTTCAAAAAACCAGAAAAATAAATATCTTTATCAAAAAAAGGCCGAACAGTATATAAATATGTTTAAAGATTAACTTGCAAGACTATGGGACGAACACGTGTGAAAGATGTCGCGAGAAAGAACTAGTTTTAAATAAGAAGTGTAGATGCCTGATAAATTAATGTACCAGTTTAACTTAAGTAAATTTTTAGTTAAACTCACATGAAATCCTCTGCCACAGACATCACAGATCTTGTCTTTAGGTTTAACAGTTTTTTCGTGGACGAATTTCGTGTGCGTGCGCAGCGAGAAACCGCTTATGAAGTGCTGATAGAGTAGATTGGTGAACTACATTAGTTGTATACCAATATGTGCAAAAACTGTTCATTAATGGTAAAATATAGATCGTGAAAAAAATTTGAAAAACATTTTTGCAACAAACAGTGTTGCAAATAAATTTTATCTACATTGGCATATTTGAACATCTTTAATACCCAATAGATTGCGGCATCTGAATGCTTAGAGCACAGACGATTAAACAATTCAATTACCTTATTACATATGGAACAGTAATGCTTAGACTGTCGCACGTGCACTAACTTATAATGATTCTTCATATATGTCTTCCGGGAGAATATCTTACCACATTCCGGACAAGGGATTCTGAAAGAATTAATGAATCTTGTTCACTTTTTTATGATGAAAACAGCCAAGCATGGGGTTGACTTCAGGAAGGTGAATTACCGCAGCCATATAATGTCTCAACGAGATGCACTGCCGACATTTTTTGGTTTTGCACTTAGAGGAAATTCAGACTGAAACTGAAGCGCAATAAAGCGTTCCCCGGACAGAATCTGGATATTCTTACGACCCGTTTAATATACAGATTTTCAGAACAACGTGTTTCATAAAAATTATAAATTGATTAGAAACTTGTCGGGACTCGCTAGGGATCGAACCCACGTCATTGGCAATACATCGCTATTAGACCAACTTGTCCGTCAAAATTACAGACAAAAATTTGTTATAATAGACGTATAATGTATGATGACGTTATACGTCTATAGATATAATAGAGGGCCGAATTGGTTTATCCGGCTCAAAGGACCTTAATGTACAGTATATTAAGGTCCTTCAAGCCGGATAAACTGGCGATGCTTCAACCTAGCTATGGGAATCGTTAGTTATCTACTTACTTGACCACCTTTTTCTGTACGTGTGCAGCCGCTGTACTTAAGTGGCGTTTATAAATGTACTGGCTAGGGAACTGTTTGTCGCACTCAACACAATAGGATAGCTCGCGTTTGAAGCTTTTATAAACCAATTCGGGATGGAAATTCTTGTAGTGCACTTCGAGGCCGTGGTATTTACTGAACAGGCGATTGCATATCTGACAGTAGGACGGAACGTGGTATTTCCTGTTCAGAATAAAAAATTATCGATACTATTTCGTTTATGAAATAAATATCGCTTTAAATAAGAGATACGAAGCCAGAACGGCGCTTGCAAAAACTCACCTTATATGTTTTTCCACATTTTCCTTAGACTTGCATACTTTTCCACAATTATCACATATGTACTGAGTGTGTAAATCTCTAAAATGATTGGCGAAGTGAAATGAGGATCTGAAATAGGCAGAAAATTATTTTCTTTTAAATAACACACTATAACGTAAAATTTAGTGTATTTTGTATAGTTTAGTAAGTAGTTAGTAAGTTGCGCATTTCTCGCACATTGTCTAGTTTTATTAATAAGTTTATTTCTACTCGGTTTGCCTGGAAGAAGTTGCTTATAGCGATAAGGCCGCCTGGTGCACTTTATAGTTGTACAATTTTATTGCATATCTATAGAGTATCTTGTGTGTGTACCAAAGTGTGAAATAAATAAATAATAATATTTAAAACAAGGACTTGTCAGTTACTATTGCTACATTTACTTTCACAAGTGATGGAAAAACACATATCTTTGTGGCGTTGGGTATTTTCCCATTGTAAGTAAAAGTATGAATACTTACTGACATTGATACCCGCAGTCCCTACACGTGTACAGTCTGGAATGATGAGTTTTCAAATGATATCGGATCTCGTAATTCCCTTGACAGAGCTGTCCGCACATGGTACACTTATATACAATATTGTGAGTTTGCCAGTGCTCATGTAATTTAGCTACCGTTGGGAATTCTTCAGCGCATTCTGAACAAGGGTACGGCGGTTTTGACTGAAAATTTTAATTATAACATGCATTTTCAATACAACAATATGACTCATTTGTTGTCAGAAATGACGTTTCTCAGGTATTCGAATCAGAGACAACTTATACATTATGTGATTTATTTTACAACTGAACCCAGAAATCACTGAAGATACACTCACCTCCAAATGATCTATATCAATATGTCGTTTAAGATCCAATAACTTCCTAAATCTGGCTCTGCATTTTAAACATTTAACTTTAAGCTTACTAGAATCCTTACGACTCCCTTTCACTTTTCTGACTATTTCAAACATCTCATCATTAGTCAGCGTTACTTCTAAATAATGCTTCTCGGGTTTCTCCAGATCCAATTCTTGTTTTGTAACAACTGCATGATGTTGGTACCGTCTGTAATTAGTCTGTTTTCTTTCCTCCTTATCAGTACATTCTTTCTTAACATGTGCATTTTCATCATCATTATTCTCATAAATATTTGCCGCGTCGTCATTATGATCAAAATCGTTAGGCGCACCATCATTGTTATCATAGTCATTAGCCAAATCATTGCTATCATAATCATTAGTGCCTTCATCATGATTCAATTCGCTATTCACTTCATCATCTACCTCTTCCTTAATCACATCTTTTATAGGTGTTCCTTGTACTTTTGATTTAAGTTTATCTCTTTTCTTTTTTACTTCATCGTAATTCAGAATATAATCATATTCAGGCATATGTACTGTATTTAAAGTTGATAAGGATATAGTTGTAGATAACTAAAAAAATAATGTAAATAGGTAGTTACTTCTTAAACTTCAACAAAACTACAACAGTTCTTTAAAGTATATATATATCTTTTAGACTCAGTATGGTAAAATTGCCAACCCTATTTCCATCTTTACAATAAAGGAAGTAACTTGATGAATGGAGCTATTTTCTACTACTAGTGTAGATGTGATAATGTTGGCCTCTACAGCACAGCAGAATCACTCATAACAAAATCACATGGACAAAGCTCATGAATTTGCATTGTAGCTACAATTATATTACTTACAAATGTATTCTGATCCAAATGTAAAGAATTTTCGAGGATAAATTGTGCCTCACTAATCCTCTCTTGAAATTGACTAATTTTATATAATATTGCTTTGCATTCCCAACATAATCGGACAGTTAAACATTTGGTTTCCTGTAAGATAAATTGAGAATGGTATTATTATGTGGTGTTCCTAGCTTTACTGGATCATTAAAAGCCTTGCATTAGGTTTAGGTTTGAATCACAGTTAAACATTAAACATTGTTTTAACGCAAGGTATACCTGAAACAACTTAAGGAAAAAGTGAAGTCTTTAAGTGTGTGATCTAAGGCAATTAGCTAATTTCTTTTGATAGACTTATAAACATATCAACTTCTGGGCTATTTACAGAAAGTAAGAGGTGCTTGTATCAATAAGTTGAAAAAAAAATTGACGACGAGGTGTAGGACTCGGGAGCTCAATTGGTAGAGCGACAGCATGGAACGCTGCCGATTCCAGTTCAATACCTGCCCGATTTATTTTTAGAGAAAATCAAATCTTACTTACACCTTAATTGCCTTGTTAGTTTCATAGAAGGAAGTTGTGTTGTGTCATAGTTGGGAAGGTAGGGTAAGACTTCAATAAAAACTGTTTTAAGTCAAATATAAATGTAAATCATCTTACCTCTTGGGAATTTTGCTTCGTTAATAACATCATAAATAAATCGTGATGTTTTATCGGAGACGTATCACGGTCCATACTCAAACAACCACTGCAGACGCCTTTCAAAAATGATTCCGACTTCACAAAAGCCATTTTTATGTTTATAATCACCGTGCGCATATAAACATTTTGTTTTGCATGTAAAAGATAGCACTGTACAATTACTGTACGATGCGATATTATAGCAACCACTTCTAATATATAAAACAATAAAATTACACAGCTAAGGAATAATTATTTACAATTTTATTTACTAAACAGCTTACATTTATTTTTGTATAAACATTATTTTTCAAACTGATTTGTTGAGTCTTAAATGACAACCACAAGTGTCAACACAGCTAATGACATTTGACCTTGAATGAGTGACAGCTATACATCACAAAGCCGCCGTTTTTTGTTTTTTTCTTATACAATTTGGAACTTGATTTTTTATTGTTTATTTCTTAAGCCCGCTATAGCCTTAAGAAAGAAACAATAAAAAAATTAAATTATACCTACTTAGTAAAAAGTTTTTTATTACATTTACTATTTATTTTACACTAAGGTATTTGATGCACAGGCAGGACTCAAACCGAAGACTAGGGTTATTACTTAAACAATTTGACATGACATTAAACGTAAAAGACGATCATTCGCCGTAAGATGTTGGCGCGTCGGTTTCCCAGATTTGATAAGGAGGTGAAAAGCCTTTTATTTAAAGCATATTGCCAGACTTTACACCCGTCAACTTTGGTGTATTACTCGGAAGTCCAATACTGCGTTAAGGGTGTAGTATAATAATGTCTTTCATACTCTAATTGGGCTATTTTTTGCAGCGCATCTAGCGTGTTTACTGAGGTAAGGGTATCGGACTTTTTAGCGATCATAACATCGAGGGTTGCATCATTTTGGAATCGCTTTAACACATCAACGAATCTTTTAGTGCAAACTTTCTCCGAGTACCTATACTTATTCTAAAATATTATAGATAAGAATGTTTTGCATTAAAATGCAACAACTTGTAACGTACAACAAAAACTAGAAAAAAAACGAATAATGTTTTTTTTTTATTGATCGATGATTTTCGTTATGTTACTTATGTTCCTAAATTAGTAATGTAATGGACATCACTAACACTGCCATTGACATTTTGACAACTGTCACATACTAAGTATCAAGCCTCAGAGTAAAAAAACTGAGTTCCATTTACAAAATAATAAGATCAAACAAGCATTAGTTATAAAAATAATAACGTTAAGTTGAGAGTGAAATGAATTATTACTGACAATGGAGGTGGAAAAAATAAACGTTATAAGTTTGGCTCCTTGTGTTTCTGATGTAAACTCCTGTGGATGTTGCAAGCAAGTTAATGTAAAATTAACAAGTTTCTTAAAATGCTCATTTGGCTATATTATCGAACGATTTCTGGATATAAAGGTAATTTGCGTATTGTATAGGCCATCACCAAATGGAAAAAGTGCCTTCCCCTTTGACACCTTATTGTAACCATTTACTGGATCTTTTTCTTCTATACACAATGACATGTTGTGGTGGATTGTGCTATTTCGAATCCAACTAGTACAATTATTGTTAGTACAGAATGGTGTTATTATATTTTTTGCTTCTTAAGATTTACTGACCTTAGGATGTAAGGCCTGTAGACAGTTTAAAGCTATTGTGCTAACAGATTCAAAATAGTACTAGTAGCATAGGCAACAAGCAATCAACATGCCAAAGTAGCAGAACCTAAAGACTTGTTGTAAGCACATTCTCAAAACTTTCATTTGTAAATAAATTGCATATAGCTGCATCATTTTATCTCTTATTTATATTTATACAACAAAATATGTTTGCACATTCTTGTATCTATGCTCTGGCTATTACATTGTATGTATTTATAATATTTTTTAGATAAGCAAAAGTGACTTTTATATTTGCTGTGTCTGCCACTCAATGTTGGTGAAAATACATAAATTTATGAGGCAGATTAAATATAATAACGGATTATTTGAGAAAGTAAGTTTTTTTAATTATTTTTACTACAAGCTAACAAAATGCATTGCAGTATTTTTACTTATTCTTTATATTATACTTTTCAGTGTATCTTAGATGAAAAGCCATGGTACAATCTAAAAACTACAGATCCAGTAATTATTGACACATTTATGCCTCTAAATGCTACTAGTCTCATGAAGACTGATCACCAAAAAGGACCAGCAGTATCTACTCGTACAAAACAAAGTCCACCCAAGCACATTAAATCAGAAGATGCACAGATAAAAGAAGAAGATAGTGATAGTACAGATTATAAAGACATTGAGTACATTGAAGATTCCATTGACTGTGATTCAAATATAGAATTTTCAAACCTGGAACGGACCGTAACTGCAAGTGTGACCACACATAAGCTGAAAAAGAGAACTCCTAAGGCGTTGGGTATGAGTTATGAAGGGAAGATACAAATAATTAAAATATCATTGGATGATGTTTGGAAAGAGAGAGAGTTAAATCGTAGTAATGAAAAATATTTAAGACTGCCGCACAAATGTGAGGATTGTATTGTAGCTTTTCAAAATGAACCAGGGTTGATAGATCATATGCTTCAGAAACATAAGGTGCGTGTGAGTTACCATTTTTGTTGCCAACAATAACAAAAAAAAACTCCCACAAAATGATATTATTTTTTACAGGTAGAAAATGGTGTCAAATGTAACATATGTAACTCCATATTTCCTTCTCAAATGTCATATGATATTCACTACAAAAGACACTTTAAAAGGTGAGTATTTTCACAATAATAGTTACACTTTGTTATGAATGCGTGAATATTTTTTAGCAATGACTTTATTATTTTAAGGAAATATGGGGATGTGTGATGATTAAAATCAAAATAATGTTGAGGATCTCTCTAATGCTAGAAAAGATGTTAGCAACAACATTACAAATGTTTAACATGGATTTTTACAGATACGAATGCATAGCCTGTGGTAAAAGATCCCGAACGCCATCTGTTTATCCTCTTTTGAAGCATTACCAAGAACAGCATGAAGCCATATCCTACACGTATAAATGCAAATGCTGCGATTTCACCACAAAGTAAGTTTACCATAGACAATATAAAACTAAATAATAACGAAGTCTTTATTTTCGCTAAACCGGTAAATATTTCGTTATTAACGCTTTGAAAAGCAAAACTTATTATAAACTGCGACCCGAAGTTTCTATGCTTTTTACCCTGGTACCCCTCAAGACCACGGCACGCTTTTAAACCGTTAAAAAGTTTATCATATATTTATGGCTACACACTACACTCAAACCTAAACACAATTTAAACTACTGCCCTGTGTGTGTCATGCAGTAAATGCACGAGAAGAACCAGTGAATGATAAGTTGCTGATCTTTTGCTGTCTGGTTTGAAATGAAACACCGCGAAAACATTGTTTTCTCAATAAGGGCCTAATATAAGCTGAGTAAGATCCTATTCTACCAACTATTAATTAAATACAACACTAACGGTTTAAAAACGCGATATATATTAGTGAAAGTTATTCGAATCGTGTCAGATGTTTCGCAGTAGCCGTGGTCACGGGAAGGCTTCGGGCCATTGTTCTAAAATAAATCTAATAAGTTTAACTAATATTTATCGCGTTTTAATTCGGTAAAGTGTTTTATTCAAACGTATACTACTCGCGTAAACTTCAGATAGTATTTACACTATTAAGATTAAATTACGTTTTTTTTATATGTAGTAATAGTCCTGTCTATAGTTTACGCGAGTAGTACACATTTAAATAAAACACTTTAACGGTTTAAAACGCGATATATTAGTTAAACTTATTTGAAAATGATTTTAGTCCTATATTTGTTTTTGTGTGGCAGTAAATAAGTTTATTTCTCCCTCTCTTAATAGTTTTGACTGTATATAGACATTCTTTAAAATTACTTTTAATTATTACTTCCTTCCTATCCTTTTTTCAGTAAATACAACGAACATCGCCAGCACAAGAGGTCGCATTTATCACCAGTCACATGTTCCTATTGCAATAAGACTTTAAGCTGTACCACATCGCTGAATACTCATGTCAGGTAAGAGTAGCGGCACGGATCTTTACCGTTGAACGAATCCTCCGCAGAAGACAAAAATAAGGTATCGAAGGGATCGAAGCGGGCGCGGGGCGAGTGAACGTCATGTTCGCTAGCGTCGATTGGCTCCCCAGTCGTGTTGTCTTTCTCGGACCAATACGACGCTCCGCTTGCTTCTCGAGTACAGTCGCGTTTTTCATGCAATTACAATGCGCAAGAGCATATAGTATCAATAGGTTGAAAAAAGTTCAACGTGTAGAACGCGGTAGCTCAATTGGTTAGAGCAAGAGCACAGAACACTTCGATGCCGGTTCAAGTCCTGCCCGTATCGAGAATGGTTTAATGTAAAAAAAAATTTCGTCAATATTTTTTTTCTTAAGAGCGGTGCACGAGAATAAATTGCAAGGCGAGTTTCCCTGCGACGTATGCGGTAAAGTGTACGTACGACTTCGGAGTCTACGCGCCCACGAGAAAATCCACAACGCTTCTGGAAACTTCTATTGCGAGGACTGTCAGTCGACCTTCAAGACTGAGAGGAATCTTCGACAGCACCTCAAGATGCACTCAAGGCACGTCACCGATGTCATGATGCGGTGAGTTTATTAATTTATTTATTCAAGATACATCAACAGATCAGAATACATATCTATATCTATACTAATATATAAAGCGTTTGTTTGTTTGTTTGAACGCGCTAATCTCAGGAATTACTGGTTCGAATGGAAAAATTATTTTTGTATTAGTTAATACACAAAAAATATGTATGAAATTATTATTCCTCATTGAATTATCTAAAAAAAGTCCGCGACGTACATGTCTATATTTTAAGATTAACTTCCATACGACGTGCGAGCGATACGAAAACGGTTCAAGATACCCAAAAAATATGAAGGAATTATTCTTCTTTAGATAGTCTAAACAATATCCACAGTTAAAGATAGACATGATATGTCTATCTTTTAAGATTACCTCTCAATAAAAGCTAAAAAACGTGTGTCAGGTCAGCTAGTGAAAGTCACCTTCGCAACGAAAATTAACAGCCTTCAATATCTAAAGCGACCGCCTCTGTAGCCAAATGGTGAAACGTATTGCCTAGCATTGCGTTAAGCGCGAGATTTCCTGGGTTCGAATCCCAGAGAAACATAAAATTGTTTCGTTCGGCCAAGGCACAGAAGTCTGATCAACTACTTGCCCGTTAAAAGAACGGATCAGTGAAACGGACACAGATATGTGTTCGCCCCATACCCTACGAGGGGGAAACGGGCTTCCACTTTTTAACATCTAAAGTTAATTTCTTCTACCAAAGTCTCGATTGATTTCTTTCAGGTATAGCTGCGAGGAGTGCGGTAAAAAATTCCTAAGGAAGCGTATTCTAGAAGAGCATTTTAATTTCACCCATTTGAAGAAGTCGAATCACACTTGCGACCAATGCTCTAAGGTGAGTAAAATTATGTAAAAATGGCATTTTTTTTATTATCTGGGGCCTTATAAACTCGCTAGCAGATAAATCGAAAGCCGAAACAGGTCGACAGCATATCTTATCTAGATGTTATATGGCTGGGATATTTTACCTACCATCGAGTGAAACGGATATTTGTCTACCTCCTCTATCAGAAAAAAGATGAACAGATATACTGTTTCTCTATTCTATCTCTTGAATCTTTGTTGTGAGATTAAATTTGCATCATCTTTAGTTTCTATTCATATCTGCAATCAAAACAATACGCGATCGGACGAAAATTAAAATCTTTAATCGGCTTATATAAAAGAAATGCGGTTTTTTGTGATTATCTATGTCGGAGAATTATTATTTTAGTACTATGTGAATGCCGCCATACTGAAGTTAGGCATAGTGTACTCTGTGGTATGTTACGGTCAACTGTCAAAATCGACAATCTGTAGAGTCAAGTCACTGTGATCTTTAAGTCAGTAGTGCGACTATAAAGATTCATGCTCGTGAACTCTCGAACACTTTTGTGAAAAAGATCCACTTGGCCGAAGCATGGAGATTTGCATCCAGTAGCCACCGCCGTCGTTCCCGAACCGATTGCCGCTAGCTTGTTCGCTTGCGGACTGGCTAGGGGTCCGGAATGGGTTCGACGGCTAGGGCCTGTAGGCCCTCCGTGCTTCGGCTGAGCGAGTACCGCGCCGCCTGAAGCACCGTTTTCCAACCACATCGCTGACACCAGGACAAACGAGCGCATTTTAATACGCAGATACATCGGCGGGTCACGGTCTGAGGCTGCGGCCGCGATGTACCTCACACCACCACCGAATAGGACTCCGGGGCGCGGCATATCTACGGGCGCATTCTCATGGCGATCCAGCCGCTCTGGCTATGCCTCGCTGGGCTTCCCTCGGGATTACCGAGGGTCTCACCCGGTGGGTCTGTGCCGTGCGCCGAGTAGACCACCCGCGAAATAAATTATTGTAATAACGATATTTTTCACCAGTACTAGAACAACAAACAACACCACATAGCCTAGAAATGTTAATACCCAAGAGCAAAGTGACCGAAAATATGTTAAAATAATTCTTACACAAATAACAGTACAAATTCATTTTAGCCTAAGTTAATTGCGCAATTTCATTGTTCTCCTTTTTGAAAACCGGGTTTTTTGCTATTAGGGCACTGCGCAGCAGCTTTATACTTAGTCTCTAGTCTTAAACTTATTTAGTCGACATTATAGATAATCTGTGCTTGCAGATATTCAAAAGCAGTCGCAATTTGATTCGACACGTCAGACAGGTTCACGAGAAGTTTCGACTGCCGAAGAATAAAATATGCGATCACTGTGGTCGCGGTTTTGCGGTAAGTATACTATGTACTGTTCTCTCCAAACTTTTTGGCCGGGCCGAAGTTAGCGCGACCGCCATCTTGCGCATGCGCATACTGTCAATTTTAAGCAAAAACACGAGTCTCCCCCGCACTCGCGCATCCCCTTTGTCGCAACTAATACCTGCTTTTTGCGTTCTGATTGTCACGAATGTTAAATAAAATACTTAACGGTTTATTAACGAAATTCAAAAGAGAGCGCTAGAGTAGTAGTAGACATTGAGGTTAGGGTCACTCTCCATCATTGACCCCCGTGACCACGGCAAAGCATCCTGAACCTCGGATCGTAATTAAATTTATGAACTAAATTTCGTGTAAGCCGTTATGTGTTTCATTTAAAATAATTTATTTTGCTCTTTAAATGTTAAACATCATGAAAATCGTTCACGCTTTTCAACGTAAACATAGTACAATACAAGATAATGCTTACAGTTTCATTATTTCTATTTAAACTTCTCATTGTAATCTTTGCTTGAACAGGTAAAAAATATTGTAAAATTTTCTTTTTCAGACCACTAATACTTTAAATGCTCACATACGGACACACACAGGGGAAAGGCCGTACCAGTGTCCGGATTGTAGTTCAACGTTCCGTCATCCGGCGGCACTTTATACACACAAGAAGTTATTACATAATCCTAATAGGAAGAGACCTTAAATAAACCTTTAAATATTTCTGTTTTATTCTTTCAACGGTGTACTAAGATATAAACTAATGTGTGTAGTTTATTAGACTGTACCTTGCCTAGGGAAAAATTTAAACCGTGATAAGGAGAGTCCTTAAAACGTATCTACAACAGGAGGCCTCAAAAATCTATGACAACTATAGGAATCGATGCTAAGTCGTAATTTTATTGTTTCAAACTTTCATAGGAATTTTACAAAACCTTGGATAATAATTATAAGTTTACTAATAACGATAAGTTCCTGGCTCTTACAAGGATGCCACATATTTAATAAATTGAAACAATTTTCGACACGGGCAGGATTTGAACCGACACCAATTGAGCTACCGATTCGCCGGACTCGGTAGCTCAATTTTTTTTATTTTAATTTCGATTTTTAAGTCATATAGGGCCATCATGTACAATAACATGTAAAAAATAGTAAAGTTATCAAATTGAAATCCTTTTCATTATGTAAAAATAATGAAACACTGCTAATAAAACCCGCTTACTGCTGTGAAGTTTTTTTAAGAAGGCTATGATATGGTCAAAATAATTAAGATTTTAGTGTTTATGATTAAATCCTATTTTCTACTAAAATCTATTTATTTAGTGGTTTTTAACATTTTAAATTAACCGTTCATATTATCAGTTTATAAATGTACATTAAAATAAAAAATCGACTTGTTCGATTATTACCTTTATCGATTTTGACTAATCTTTTGTGTTAAATTTCACCCCTTTAATTGTCATTGTGCGGTTATTAGCACCCCGTCTTTCTTTATGCTTTCAAGCTTACACGATTTTGCTGCAGACAGGGTTTTTACCATTCGTGCTGCATCCGGATATTTCTCAATCCCTTCACAGAACGCCCTCGTGTTTGCTTTCCTGCATTGACTTTTGAATAGATCTCTCTGTTCTCTATATTTCATCCAGCTCTCCTCATCACCTTTCTGTAGGGCCATCCGGAGAGCTCGTCGTGTTCTTTTCCTGGATTTTCCCAGTGCTTTTATTCACCATGTTTGTCCTTTTCCAGACTTTATTTCTCTGATCGGGCATGCTTCATGGAATGCTTCTCTTAGAGTTGGGTCAAGTCTTGTTGCTTCTGCCTCTAAGTCTACCTTACTGGTGAGTATGTCTGTCGGAATTGGGCTCCACTTCTGCATATAGTCATGAAAGGTTGCCCAGTTCGTCTTTCTTGCGTCTGTGGTCTGTGGTCTGAGAATGCGTCACTTTCGTCAACCCTCCATTTCTGAATGTGTCGGATAATTTTGTCTGCGGCGACTTGTATATCTAAGACTTCTGCTCTGGTTCGACTAACAAACGTTGGTGTTGTACCTTCGTTTATTACTCCAAGGCCTGCGCTACCTAGAAAATGTAGTAAAAGTCACCCTTTTTATTACGAATAAGAGGGTATATCACCAGTAAGTTAAAGAATAATAAGAACAAAGTTATTTTTATCATCACAAACATAAAATCATATTTAAGTATAACCTTAATTATTAGATTTCCATAGAGTTTTTAAACGGCTAAGCTGTTTTTATGACTCTACGTTATTATTTTTCTTTACTTTTCATGATAGTGGAGGACAGAACAGCATGGTGTTCATATGATGGGAAATATACCCCAGCTTATAATCCTGACTAGACGCGCTGTCCATTTATTTTCGCTTTGAAGATTCTGAGATCCACTATTTTTTTTATCGCGTTAATCACTAACGTTTTGGCTTTTCATATTGTGTGGACGGTGGTTCGCCACCCCGACGGAGTTTTGATATTCCTACTAGAGAATTAATATTCGGATTACAGACGACGTCCAACAGAAAAATTACAAATTGATTAGATTTGATTAATGTTGGACCACGAGGGAATCGAACTAGCAATATATTTGTCATATTTGCTACCATTACACCAACTGAGCCCGCCAAGACGTTAATAGTTAAAGTAAATCTTAACACCCATATAAAATGATATATAAATGTTTATGTTATAAAAAAATATATAATTCAACATTGGAAACCACGGAAGCAATAAACCATAATATTATTAGCCGAAACAAATTGAAGTGAAAAATGATGTATTGTGAATTATTTTTATTTACAACCGTTTTACTTTTAGCTGGTAAAGTTTTTAACAAGAGTGTTTAAAATTATCTTTATGCAATTCACTAATTTATTATAGTGTTTATTTAAAATTTTATTCTTAGGCTTCCACAAAATATTCATAGATTTTTTGTTGTAGAATGTGAAATCGACCCGAAAAGTATTAATTTGGAAATAGAAACTTCGTTCGCTTTTGAACCAATAGACGACTCCACACAAGGTGTATCTGAGATTAACACGTTTTTTGAGCAAATACAACAACTTATAAATCCTATAATGGTACGCTTTAGACGACCAAAGGATTGTATAAGTGATGCGTTACACGATATTCTAAAAAAAGCGAATACACTGGAAGATAAAGACTTTAAAAAATTAGTAAAAATTGTTACCAAAGAACTATATGAGGGAATTGCCGCAAATAACGAAATATCAAATTCATCTAAATATTTACGTAAGATTTTGGATTTTACTGACCTTAATCCTAATATCGTACGAGTTTTTGTAAGACAAATTTTTGATAATGAAGACTACAGTTTTTTTAAAGATTATACGACACAAATAAACAAACACTATAATGAAACAGAAGTTTCAAACTTTAGAACAACGGTTGATGCATTAGATTCCTTAAAGAATAGCGACGAGTTAAAAAAAATCGTAAAGAGAATGTTGAACATTCTCCTGTTTAACAAATTTAAACATTTGAATGACGTCGAAAAAGCTGTGATTGAGAAATTGTCTTATCTCAAGAATTATTTTAAGGCTTTTGCCTAAAAATCATAAATGCAATGGGTGCTACTGTTCCTGAAATTTATATAAATATCGAAAAATAGTTTTAATTAAAAGTTTAATAGCTCGCTAACTATTTTTTATACTTGTTATATAATATTATAGATAAGAATGTTTTACATGAAAATGTTTAAGCTTGTAAAGTACAAGAAAAACTTAAAATAACGATTTATGAATTTATTTTTTACTGTTCGATGATTTTAGGTATTTTACTTTAGTGTTGTTCCTATATTAGTAATGTAATGGACATCACTAACACTGACATTGACATTTTGACAACTGTCACATACTAAGTATCAAGGCTCAGAGTAAAATCTGAGTTCCATTTACAAAATAATAAGATCAAATAAGCATTAGTTACAAAAATAATAACATTAAGTTGAGAGTGAAATGAATTATTACTGACAATGGAGGTGGAAAAAATAAACGTTATAAGCTTGGCTCCTTGTGTTTCTGATGTAAACTCCTGTGGATGTTGCAAGCAAGTAAATGTAAAATTAACAAGTTTCTTAAAATGCTCATTTGGCTATATTATCGAACGATTTCTGGATATAAAGGTAATTTTGTTTAAGCCATCACGAAATGGAAAAAGTGACTTCTTCTTAGACACCTATTCTTTGACACCTTATTGTAACCATTTACTGGATCTTTTTATTCTATACACAATGACATGTTGTGGTGGATTGTGCTATTTCGAATCTAACTAGTACAATTATTGTTAGTACAGAATGGTGTTATTATATTTCTTGCTTCTTAAGATTTACTGACCTTAGGATGTAAGGCCTGTAGACAGTTTAAAGCTATTGTGCTAACAGATTCAAAATAGTACTAGTAGCATAGGCAACAAGCAATCAACATGCCAAAGTAGCAGAACCTAAAGACTTGTTGTAAGCACATTCTCAAAACTTTCTTTTGTAAACAAATTACATATAGCTGCATCATTTTATATCTTATTCATATTTATACATTCAACAAAATATGTTTGTTGTTTGCACATTCTTGTATCTATGCTCTGGCGTTGTATGTATTTATAATATTTTTTTAGATAAGCAAAAGTGACTTTTACATTTGCTGTGTCTGCCACTCAATGTTGGTGAAAATACATAAATTTATGAGGCAGATTAAATATAATAACGGATTATTTGAGAAAGTAAGTTTTTTTAATTATTTTTATTACAATCTAACAAAATGCATTGCAGCATGTTTACTTATTCTTATATTATACTTTTCAGTGTATCTTAGATGAAAAGCCATGGTACAATCTAAAAACTACAGATCCAGTAATTATTGACACATTTATGCCTCTAAATGCTACTAGTCCCATGAAGACTGATCACCAAAAAGAACCAGCAGTATCTACTCGTACAAAACAAAGTCCACAACCCAAGCACATTAAATCAGAAGATGCACAGATAAAAGAAGAAGATAGTGATAGTACAGATTATAAAGACATTGAGTACATCGAAGATTCCATTGACTGTCATTCAAATATAGAATTTTCAAAACCAGAACAGACTGTAACTGCAACTGTGACCGCAGATAAGGTGAAAAAGAGAACTCCTAAGGCGTTGGGTATGAATTATGAAGGGAAGATACGAATTATTGAAATATCAATGGATGATGTGTTGAAAGAGAGGGAATTAGATCGTAGTAATGAGAAATATTTAAGACTGCCGCACAAATGTAAAGATTGTATTGTAGCTTTTCAATATGAACCAGGGTTGATAGATCATATGCTTCGGAAACATAAGGTGCGTATCGAATAGCATTTTTGTTGACAACAATAAAAATATAAACTCACACGAAATGATAAGGGGTCATCCATTAAGTACGTCACACGAATTTCATGATTTTTTGAGCCCCCCCCCCCCCGTCCTTGTGGGGGTCACATTTCTGAGACTCGCCCTCAGTGTGACGTCGCATGTTTTGCAATTTCACATCGAAAAATTATAAAATTAAAACAGCAGTTCCGAAATTAGTTTTATTTCCATTTAAATGAAGTACTTTTTTTGTGAAATTAACATTTTATATCAAGTATTTGAAACGATTTCACGAAACTTAGGACCCCTCCTACCACTTGTCACACCATGTCACGTTTGTCGACCC